GAGTTTGACAACACAAAAGCCTCTTTTAGAAGGGGGTTTATGTTTTTGGTGTTAAGTTTTGCTAGACAAATCAAAGACTGAATTGAAATAAAATGTTCTACTGTCAATCTTCCAAGTTCAGATCGTGCCCCAACATTTTAAACAGACTTTTTTTTATTCCCAATATAAATTTACAAAAGTTTAAATGAACTTTTTCAGAGGGAGTTTGTCTATAAAATAGAATGTATCTAAACTTCGTCCACTTTTTTCAGCCCGAATTTTAGCCCTATGATAGGTCAAATAACTATCCATAAATGAAATTTCTGAGTTGTAAGTCAAGACTGGGCGTACTAATTTGTCAAAAAGATTATTTGAGACCTGTATACGAAGATTGCCCAAGGAAGACGATTTAGCCTCTATAGAAAACAAAACTGTTTTGGCCTTCCTAGCAAGATCCTCTTAACTATGATTCAGGTAACCATTACTTTTAAGTAGCGAACCTAAAAACTTGTATTTAGTAACATTTTGTAATAAAGTATTTTTACAATTGATAAATGATTCCACATTACTATTACTATAATGTTGAATAACCATACTTTTGTTTGTTTGTTTTTTAATATTAAGAGTGAATTTACCGTGACATGTTTAATACCAGTTTTTGTAATATAGAATCCGAATTTTCAAGATTAGTAAGACCACCTAGCCCCTCACTGCTATCTCTCATGAAGTAATTTATCTAAACTCTAAAAATTGCTGCTGATGCACAGTCCAATATTTTAAAAAGTGTTTTTAAAAACACAATTCTGGGATGGCAAGTAGCCAGACATTTGGACTGATTCTGAAAGATTTCATGAAGTCATTAACGAACTACTGATGAAGACTCACTAATAAACTTTTGTCGGAATCTCCAACTTAATAGTTTTGCCCTAGTAATTTTATGGTTTTCCGTCGGTCGGCCGAACTATCTACATGTAAATTAAAACACACATTTCATTGTATATCTCTTTTAATATTCTGCAGTATATTTTATGTACCAAATGAGATTATTTGATATATGTGCTTATTGCAAACTAGTGTTTTTATAGTTTATAGCTTTGCTAATTTATGTCCTTATTTTGCTATTAATACTTTGCTAGCCATGTGTATTTGTCGGTGTTCTTGCATGTTTGTCTGATTTTATTTGTTATGTTTGTACTTTTAGTATGTCGGGTTTAAAAGCTCTAAAACAGCTTATGTTTTACTTTATTGTTAACTCTTTACCGACTTTAAATAAATTTGATTTGATTTGATTTTGATTGGTTATGTGTCTTTTGAATCCTCGACGACATTTTAAATCCCAAGTAAGACCTACTGTCCGTTGCGTAGCAGTGTCGTTGTACGGATAAACACTTTTTGTAAATCTTAAGGCTGCCTCTATTGCATCATCTTCCTAACTTGATTAAGTGATGTACTATAAATTAGCTGTAATGCCGCGATAACATAACAATGACCTGCACGGAAGTAGTAGGAATTTAGTATCACCTGATCACATGGACCAGTGTATATACTTGATTGGACCATAAACACGGCACCTATCTTTCTTTCTTTCCAAATCTTCACATCCTTTGTAGGACAACCACACCGTCACAATATCTGTTCGGCATGTAGAACAAAACCCACCACCATGAATGAAGGAATATATGTACACTATATTTTGAATAATACTATCCTCCACCAATATATACAGGTTCATTTTTGTAGTTGCTCGCATAACTTGTTGTATCACGGTACTCTTAGTTGCATTTAAAATTCATAGGCTAGTTACCGGACATATATACAGGGGGATTATATATGTTTACGTGGTAAAATTGTTCATACATAAAAAGAAAACGTTGTAAAATAATTACATCAGTCAGGTTCGCACTCTAAAATCTAAAATCTAAAGTCTAAAATCTAAGATAGTTCGTCTTTCATATCGGTCTTATTACCATCCAGTATATGGGTAGTCCTTTCGCATTGGGCTAAGAATCTTAGAACTCGGCGCATTGAGCTTATTGTCTTTCACAAATTGTATTCACATCGTAAAATCTAATAAAATGTTCATATTGTCTAAAAACTTAAATCACTTGTACTCCGCGCATTGAGCTTGTGGTTTCACATCATAAAAACTAATAAACTTTAAATATTGGCCTTATCTATATTAGCACTTCATGCAGTTTCATCACAATCGGACTAACAGACTAAAAGATATCATCTCGCGTCTGCATTGGCACCGGCACGCCCATATTACGTTTTAATTGCTGCGATATGCATTTGCAAGCATGGACATAATACTATCAGTAAGCGTTTGACATTTATGATGTCAAACTATGTGTTCGACCTATTTGGAATTGACTGCCCTACACCCCAGACCCCACCCACCCATAGACCATGACCAAGACATCTTCATTCTATCCTTTGCTTACAAGGAACAAGAATGCATTCAAGGATCAGTACATTTATATGAACCGTTATTTGGTTTAGGCCGTTAAGTTACAAAATTCACTGGTGCGTAAATAGTTTGACAAACGGATCAAAACAAATCCAAACATACAATTTGCCACGTTTAGAAAATGATTTAGTAGACAATTTAGAAGTTTTGGGCCAATATCATTGGAAAAATTTGGTAAACCGCCGGTTTCGAATAGGGTCAATATTTGTCTGTAAATCATGGTTAGAAATGAGACTGCATTGATACAACACAAACAATTATTTACCTATATCAATGCACCCAGAAATTAAGTGACTTTAAGTCTGTTAAATAACAGTCAGCGGATCATCATTTTCTAAGTAGAAATTACCATAAGGTAAAAATAAATTACTCAAATGACCAAATAGGCTTAAGCAAGGGCCAACCTTCTTCTTCTTCTGGTAATCTTCTTCCGTCCACGTCGGGACAACCTCCAATGAGAAGTATTCTGTCATCTATATGTATAGTAAATCCGTCACCATAATAAAACCATCACCATATATATACACCATATTTACACGTGCAAGACCCTCATGGGTAGTCAAGGTCGTTAAAAACCCCCCTCGTCGTCGTCGTTCAAAGTAGAGTGATTAAAAATTACAACCCATTTAAAATTGCATTTGAGGAATGTTCAATCAAATTAATTTAATTTTCAATACGAAATCAAGCTAAAACATACTGTTAATAAATATTGAAAAACTATAGAATAAAAAACTTGTGCACTCTTTAGGTCGGTATACAAAATGGCATCTATCTGGACACTTAACGCAAATGCTTTTAACAATTGCAAGTTACTAAAGATTCTTCTTTAAATAGTATTTGCCAGGGGCTACCTTCAACTTGCAGTGAGGTATGAGCTCTTGCTTCAGGTTGGATTCCTCACTGTGATATAAAAGAGAAGCGGAAGATACCAAATCTACAAAAAAAAAACACAATCCCATGGCAAATAAAGAGCTGCGCCATGAGCACGTGATACGCCCGTCGCTTTTTCATTTTAAAGTTCCATAACCCCTCAATGTCATATCAGAAATTTATAAAAAAAAACTAGAGGGAGGTTATTTTAATAGATATAAACCAGTCACCAAAGTTTCATGAAAAATGCTCAAAGCACTTTTGAGTTATTGTCCAAAAACTGGAAATTCCCTGCCTTTTTATTAATAAAACTCCAAAACTCGGCAACATAAAGTCTTAAATTTATCAAAATCGAAAGGGAGCTTACGTCATTAGATATAAAAAATTCACAAAAGATTCATGGAACTGCTCAAAGCATTTTTTAGTTATTGTCCGACATGTAAATGTATCATCTGCTTTTGCAGTTTCTAACTTTCATAAGTTGAAATAGTCAATAAAGTTTACTAAAAAAATACACTGAAAACAAGAAAAGAAACCAAAATACACCGAAATAAGAAAAAAAAAGAAAAAACGACAATTAGCTTGACGTCATAAACTTACGTCATTGACGTTGCCTTGGAATATCTATATTTAGGTACATATATAACCTCTCGTGATTTTTTTCCGCGGTTAATACAATGTTTCATCAAAGAGGATTCCCTATTCTTTTGAGCCAATGAGAAAGCAGAAAATTTATATTGTCATATAATAAACCATAATACGTCCCGTAAATGGGTGTATAAAAACGAAAAACGCCCAATAGACAAACAACAGTCTACAAAACACAACATAGAAAACTAAAGACTAAGCAACATGAACCCATCCAAAGCATGGGTGATCTCAGGTGCTCCAGAAGGTTAAGCAGATCCTGCACAACATGTTGCACCTTTAAAAGTCTTAGCGGTAAGTCACATTCGAGAAAGAGAGGACAGGATTGTTGTTACAATAATAGAAACATATATGTTGTCATCTGTGAACAGACATTCGGTGATAAGTCTAATTTGGTAGGTTTAGCTAGCTATCATGAAAACCAGGTTTAATCCACTATTTTCTACATAAAGGAAATGCCTGTACCAAGTCAGGAATATGACAGTTGTTTTCTATTCGTTTGATGTGTTTGAGCTTTTGATTTTGCCATTTGTTAAGGGACTTGGAGTACAGTATTTTCTTTTGTTATTTTACTTTTTGGTAGGTCATATTCGAGGAAGAGAGGCCAGGATTGGGGTTACAACAATTGGAACATATTTGTCAGTATCTGTGAAACAGATATTCCATAATGGTCAACCAAATTATGATGGTGTCTGTAAAATATTTGTAGGGATGACTTCAAATTCACCTTGTGAGAAGAAGAACAGAAATAAAAGCTCTGTTCATTTGCTTTGGTGTGGTCAAGTACATGTCAGCATTTTGTGTCCTGAGTTAATACACAATATTCCTTCTTTTCCTATTCAATAACTACTTAACACAACAAATTTCCATCAGAACATCAAACAGAAACTACAACAACAAAAATAATTGATTCAGTTACTCTAAATATGGTTGTCCTTACAAAGATCTCTTTTTTGTACAGAAATATTTTGTTGATAATAAAAACTTGTTTTATTGGTAAATGAAATTTTCCATGAAATGCAATGAATAAAACTAGTATCAAAATAATTTATTTTAAAATTTCAACAAGTTTACAGCTGAGCTGGTTGTAACAAATAACAGAAACACTTTAAAAATTTCAGCATATACATGTATATACTGATATAACTTGTATAAGTAATTTATATTGTATATCAACACAAAAAACAGCATCAAAATGAACATCTGTTTCCTTATCCACAAGCAATGGTATTCTTTCAGATCCAATGCGAGTTATCAAATTATAAAGATATGAAAAAGCAATCTTTCAAAAAGTGCACACCATTAAATTCTGCGGCAAACTAGACTTGTCAGAAGACCTACAAATTAGAAATTACCAAATGAACCAAGTTCTGTTAAACTAAAACATGTAAAATGTTGTAAGACAACTGAAATTGTTATGGACTTAAACTATATATATAGTAATAATTTCATAATTTAAAAAAAAACAACTTTGGGTATCTCCAGATATGTGAAAAATATCTTGTTTGTGAAGAGAGTAACACAACTGGATTTGTCAAAGGTTCAAAATTGATATAAAGAAAAGAAAAATGCTTTTGAGGAATCAAACATTGTATGAAGAGTTAATATGATTTGGTAAATCACTAACCCAATTTTTAAAAAGTTCAAGGTCCTATTTTAAGTTTTCAATATAACGTAATTTGTGCTGGAATTATTTCCCTTAACCATCATTTGCCATCATACTGGAGGGTACACTGGTTGATTTTATTTTATTAACTAAATTAAAACATGTGGTACAAACAAGTCTTATAAAAAATCCTTACTTGGTTGTAGTAATGAATTAAACATGTCAGAAAACAATTTGGTGGAACTATAAGGAAATCAACTCTTATTCAAGTTATTTCAATAAAAAATTATCTGTGGTTACTATGTCATTACTAAGTCAAAATCACAATATCAAATTATATCTTATTACCAATTTGAGTAACACATGGATTGATCAAAGGAAATTTGAGTTCTATGGTGATTTACTCAAATTGATAAGCAACAGTATACCATAACTCATTTTGTTAATGAAGGGAATACAGAAATTCAGGTTTTACAAATAAACATTTTATGCAATTCCCTCAGAATTAATAAAAACATAGAAAACACTAAATATCAATAGAAACATGAAAAGCATTTGGTTAGTATTATAATGGTCAACTCAGCTTTAGAGAATTGTCCAACTAACAAAAAATATCCAACAAATAAAAAAATGAACTTAAATAAAAATGTTTATAAAATATTGGTTAATTTTTTTAAGACAAGTGGTTAATGAAAAATGTATAGAAAGTAGACAGGTGGGCTATCTTTCATGTAATTCATAAAATAAAGTTATACCGTAATTGCTATAAGTATTCTGCATTTTATACTGATCCTGTTGGCTTGATCTGATATAAGTCAAATTGGATACGACTAAATGCAGATGGTGGGTTAACTTCAATAAAACAGAAACCAAATGACATAATCAATCACAAGACATCTTTATAAACATTTATAAATTTAAAAAAAATAAAAATTGAGGACATCACAAAATTTCCTTTCCTGAGGGGTGATGAAGAAGTACTTTGAAACTAATATTTCCATCTGAATTGCATTTTTTTTATAGCTGCATACACCCATATCTGCTCCCAATAATCACACTGAACCTTGAAAAAAAGATATAATCAATTTTTTCCAATTTAGTCATTACAATAATATCAGAAAATGTTTCAATAATTTACATACAAATTGCACAATCAGATTACAGAGACATATATAGTATTTGGACGGCAATCTAAAAAAATAACAAGATAAAATAAGACATAATAACAGAACTATTTACAAACAATGCTGTACATTAAAATATCACAGACATCTAAAAAATCATTTCTTAGGGGATTAACATTCAGAAATTCAAAATATTACAAACAAAGCACTTCAATATCATTTAATAGGGGGATTAAAATTGGGCGTTTCAAAATATCACAGACATTGCTCTTTGAAATAATTTCACAATGTCAAATGGATCCTTACAGTTCAACAGAAACAATTAGTTTTATTTTTGTATTTCCTCAAAATCTCAATAAATCAGAAATATCTTTTACTGCCAACAATAAATGTACATGACAAATGGGTCTATAATCGTAAATAATAGGACCACTCAAAAGGGCGTTTATCAAATGATTACAATACCAATTTATTAAGGTTATCTAGTTACTTCACACAATTTTTAGTGATTGTCGAATTACAAGCATTATAACTTAGGCACTTTTACCAATATGAGGCACAAATCATTAAAGAAGAATATATTATGATCATAAAAAATAAAAAAGTGTACTGTTTTTAGCAAAGAAACCTTATAACCATAATAAATATTGCTAAAAGCAAAACAAACAAAACATTGGAGAGTTTTAACCAATATCTGAAGAAAACATGCATGTAAGAAACATAAACAAATGTAAGGGCTATCACATATAATCATAACGCATCACAGGAACAAACATTAAAATAACTCCATGGGCATGGCCAGCTTTAAATTTCAAAGTAAAAATGAAAATCTTTTGAGTAGTGTACCTTATCATCCCTGCGGTAATGTTAAAATAATCTGTATAACAAAACATATCAGAAAAGACAAATCACTGCATTTTGTGTTCTTTCCTAGTTACTTCTGTAAATTTCAAGATTAGGTAGTATCAAACAAAAGCCCTCAGACAATAGCAGATCCAAAATAGGAAATTTAAATGTATCTAAATCATAGTCTGTTTAAAAGTTCAGAACTTCAACATACTTCTACTCTTGATCAATTTATGGCAGTTTAAAACTTCCTGCCGTCTGTGCATAGTATCCTCCTACAGAAATGGCCCTAACATTAACATAGATAGCTGTACCAGTCTCTGCCTTAACTGATGCTGGTATACCAAATGTAATACTAGACTGGTTTGTAAACTGCCATTGTATAATGTTGACACCACTCTGGAATGATCCAGCCGATACCTCATAGTAAAGTGAATAGTCAGAGGTGAAAATGTCTCCCCACGATACGACTACTTCATTGTTAAGGTAGGATAATCCAAGACTCTTGGAATCTAAAAAAAAAATTTAAGAGATATTATTTACAATGCAAAATGTGTCCATGGACACTAACCCAGTACAAACCATCACATGTTCATGTTCAGTGAACCATGAAATCAGGGTCTAAACCCTATTTGTCATATACATTAAAATGTTCTCCTCATAATGAATGTGAATTAACTTAGAAATTTATGTGAAAACTTCATGGTAAACAGTAAACAGAAACTATAACATAATGGATGGACTGACAGTCCAACTCAGGGCTGTTCCATAAAAACATACATGGAACCCAGGGATAGTACTTTCAAATCTCAACTAAGGGTGATTGTCATATATGTTTTGGCATAGTGGAAATGCATACCTGTCAACCTATGACAATGAAATAAGAATAAGAATGTGAGCAGCTTTTAATCAGTAAAACATAACAAATGGAAGTTTTTAACGACCTTGACTGGCTATACAGCCCTTGCACGGTCGGTAACAAAACATAACAGAGGTTGATATTAGAGTATAATAAAATAAAGTTAAAAAATTAAAGTAGGTATAGATGAACAAGAGGCTCTCAAGAGCCTGAATCGCTCACCTGTATTTCAGAGGAGAAGATTTTTAAATGTTAGCAAACTTGATGAACAAATTGTGTAAAATTGTCTTTAAAGGGCAATAACTCCTTAAGGGGTCAATTGACAATTTTGATCATATTAACGTTTTTGTAGATCTTACGTTGCTGAACATTATTGCTGCTTACAGTTTATATATATCTATAATAATATTCAAAATAATAACAAAAAACTGCAAAATTTTGTTAAAACTACCAATTCGGTGGCAGCAACCCAACAATGGGTTGTTCGATTCGTCTGATAATTTCAGGGCCGATAGATCTTGACCAATTAAACAATTTTACTCCATGTCACATTTGCTCTAAAAGATTCAGTTTTTGAGATATAAGCCAAAAACTGCATTTGACCCTTATATTCTATTTTTAGCCATGGCGGCCATGTTTGTCGATGGATACAAACTTCGGATACAATTTATAAACAAGATACCCTAAGGATCATTTAGTTAAAGTTTGAAGGTAATTGGCCCAGTAGTTTCAGAGGAGAAGATTTTTAAATGTTAGCAAACTTGATGAACAAATTGTGTAAAATTGTCTTTAAAGGGCAATAACTCATTAAGGGGTCAATTGACAATTATGGTCATATTAACTTTTTTGTAGGTCTTACTTTGCTGAACATTATTGCTGCTTACAGTTCATATATATCTATAATAATATTCAAAATAATAACAAAAAACTGCAAAATTTTGTTAAAACTACCAATTCGGTGGCAGCAACCCAACAGTGGGTTGTTTGATTCGTCTGAAAATTTCAGGGCCGATAGATCTTGACCAATTTAACAATTTTAATCTGGTCACATTTGCCCCAAAAGATTTAGTTTTTGAGATATAAGCCAAAAACTGCATTTGACCCTTATGTTCTATTTTTAGCCATGGTGGCCATGTTTGTCGATGGATACAACCTTCTGATACAATTTATAAACAAGATACCCTAAGGAACATTCAGTTAAAGTTTGAAGGTAATTGGCCCAGTTGTTTCAGAGGAGAAGATTTTTAAATGTTAGCAAACTTGATGAACAAATTGTGTTAAATTGTCTTTAAAGGGCAATAACTCCTTAAGGGGTCAATTGACAATTTTGGTCATATTAACGTTTTTGTAGATCTTACTTTGCTGAACATTATTGCTGCTTACAGTTTATATATATTTATAATAATATTCAAAATAATAACAAAAAACTGCAAAATTTTGTTAAAACTACCAATTCGGTGGCAGCAACCCAACAATGGGTTGTTCAATTCGTCTGAAAATTTTAGAGCTGATAGATCTTGACCAATTGAACAATTTTACCCCATGTCAGATTTGCTCTAAAAGCTTTAGTTTTTGAGATATAAGCCAAAAACTGCATTTAACCCCTATGTTCTATTTTTAGCCATGGCGGCCATGTTTGTCAATGGATCAAAACTTCGGATATAATTTATAAACTAGATACCCTAAGGAACATTTAGTTAAAGTTTGAAGGTATTTGGCCCAGTAGTTTCAGAGGAGAAGATTTTTGAAATAGTTTATGACGACAGAAGACGACAGACGAAGGACGCCAAGTGATGGCATAAGCTCACATGGGAAGGGCCCCGGTGAGCTTAAAAAGTAATTTTCAAAATTTTTATTTTTTAATTGTTCTAAGGTAAAACAATAAGTAAAAGTATTATTCTGATATGTTTTTGCATTCAATTCATATTAGATTTAATCTTTTTACAAAAAAAAACATAAGTTTAAGGAGTATATTGTGAATTGACAAAAAAGGGGAAGTAACTCAAGTTGTTTTTAAAACAACTTTGAAATACACAAATTATTTACGACCTAAAGCTAAGGTAATTGGTGTTAATTAACAGTGTGTTTGACACCAAAGCTGTCAAGTGAAGCCATGCACTGAAATGGGTCACTTGAGCTGAGTTTACACAGCTAGTTGAACTTCTTGTCCAGGAAGAATTACGAATTTGCTGGTATTTTAAAGAAATCAGTTTATATCTAATCAGTCCTAACGCTTAGGAATCCGGGTGAAAACGGGTTATTTTACGAATTCCCGGGTTATTTGGTCACCCGGCGGGTGTTCCGGGTGACCCCTCAGAATTGTGAAAATCTCGGGTCACACCTGCAGGATCTGGGTCAGTTGACAGGTATGGAAATGTTAGTGAAATTTTAATTTGCCTCTATAAGTGGTTAACCTATTTTCAAAGTGCCTTCCCTGGGTACCATGCATGTTTTAATGGAACAGCCCTCAAGCAGAGACACATTGCCCATCTTGCATAATAAAAAAAACATAATGAAACGTTTTTAAACAATTCGAAAGGGCAGACTTGCCAGAATTTTTGCACATATATATCAGGCATACAATCTTGAAAATTATATAATACCTATTGGTTTCAACCTTATCACTTAACCATGAAAATGGAAATGGAAAATGAAATGGGGTCACACAAATATATGAACGTATTATTTGTAAAGTTCATATCTTGATGAATTGTGTAGTGAAGTTTTGAAAGTGAAGGCATATAAGAATGATAACCCTTTAAATTTCATTTCAATTATTCTTTAAACAAAATAAAAAAATCATTAAAACTGTCTTGGACAATATGTGTCTATACTTACTATCTACTTGGGGAACTGCAGTCTGAACAGTTACATTAGTAGTCACGTACAATGATCTGAGGAACAGTTTATTCATAGCTTGTGTAGACACGTCATGTTTATCATCTGTTAGCGACATCTTTGTGAAGTGAGTGTATAATACTTCCTGGTTTGCTGGGAAAAACATGGCCTCCGACATCTGTCCAGGATAATTTACCTGAAATATAATAATATTGTACTGATAATTCCTTACAGTGATCTTCTAAAGGGCCATAAAATGGAATACTATAAGCCAACTATTTTTTATGAGCAAATAAAATACATCACATGTTGATATTCTGTTATACATATGATAGCATTAGTTTTTCTGTACCAGATGTACATTTCAACTACAAATGTATCTCCGGTGATGCTTGCCAACAAAACATTTGAAAAACAAAAATAAATAAAAAATTAAAGAACCTTAGTGAGCTCGCTCACATACCCCACGTCCCCACATTGTCATTGGAGAAATAAAATAAGTGTAAGAAAAAAAAATTGTATAAGAAAAAAAAATTGAATCATAATTTCCTGTCAATATGCAAATCTACATAGTATGTCCTTATTATCTAAAAAGGTTTCATGAAATTCTGTTGTGTGGTTTCAGAGGAGTTGCGATGACAAACTGTTGCAGTAGTACATTACAGCAAATAAGTTCAAAGGGGCGTAACTCCTGGAAAAAAAATTGAATCTTAATTTCCTGTCAATATGCACATCTACGTAGTATGTCCTTATTATCTGAAAAGGTTTCATGAAATTCTGCTGTGTGGTTTGAGAGGAGTTGCGATGACAAAAGGTTGCAGTAGTATATTGGGCAAATAAGTTCAAAAGGCCGTAACTCCTGGAAAAAAAATTGAATCGTAACTTCCTGTCAATATGCACATCTACGTAGTATGTCCTTATTATCTGAAAAGGTTTCATGAAATTCTGTTGTGTGGTTTCAGAGGAGTTGCGACGACAAAAGGTTGGAGTAGTATATTTGGCAAATAAGTTCAAAGGGGCGTAACTCCTGGAAAAAAAAATTGAATCGTAATTTCCTTTCGATATTCACATCTATGTTGTATGTACTTATTATCTGAAAAGGTTTCATGAAATTCTGTTGTGTGGTTTGAGAGGAGTTGCGATGACAAACTGTTGCAGTAGTACATTAAAGTAAATAAGTTCAAAGGGGCGTAACTCCTAGAAAAAAAATTGAATCGTAATTTCCTGTCAATATGCACAACTACATAGTATGTCCTTATTATCTAAAAAGGTTTCGTGAAATTCTGTTGTGTGGTTTGAGAGGAGTTGCGATGACAAGAAATAGGACTGACGGACAGACGGACGGGTCAAAAACATTATACCCTCCGCAACTCGTTGCGTGGGGTATAAAAGTTAAGAGCTTATAAAACAAAAAAGACAAAAAGTATAGCCAAAGCCAGAGCTTTCCATGATATATGTATATACAAAAAAAATAAACTGCCATAGAGTCAGCTAGAATTAGCTAAGATAAAATAAGCATTAACACAAAAAAAGTTGGTTTAAAGTTGGAAACAATGAGGTTAATCATGGATAACATTTACAATCAAACAGAGTAAAAAATATTGCCATACAAAAATTTATACCAAAAATTCATAAAAGAGCATGATCCTCCTTCATTATAAAAAAAATGAAATAAAACACATATATTATATATATTAACACATCTTAACAGTTGTTGATAGGGGGCACATAGAATGATATTTTAAAGAAGAATAGCAATATAAAGATGAAAATTTGGCATTAAAACTATAACATATTACAAGTGAACAATTTTTAACAAACTTTCCATTGAAGAAATCTTTGATAGGCTGTAGCTGCTGAAAAATAGTGAGTGGTATTTTACTGTGCTATAAAAAATGATTGAGGAAAATTTTGCAAAATGACTAAACATTTATGCTGATGCGAAGAGCACAACATAACCATAAGGTATCACTGAAAAGACTAATTACTTTTACAGATATTGTTGTAAATGCAGCATAAATACATATTGTTTATTCAACTGTACACATCATCTTGAGTACATCCCTAACAATACATAATTTGTTGTATTCATGAAATGGTTGTGAATCATTGTTGAAGCTGTTTTGTTTCGAAAAGAAATTCTACCATCTCTGCTCACATGTATTCCATTGTGTATGTCTTTTTTTTAAATGTCTATAATTAGTCTTATGAGAATAAATAATACATGTTTTAACCCTTAATGATGTTCTTATGGAAATACAGTTGGAAAGGAAATTTATCCACATATTTTATCTATAACATTATATATAGCTTTTGGTGGGGGAAATATAACATTGTCACATATCATTAGATTCTGTTACATTATTATTAACATTGACACTTTCAACAATATCTACTTTGAAACTTTCAACAATATTTTAAAGTTTAACCATCAACTTTATATGAACCCTGATGATCACACTGAAGTTACCTTGTATGTTTCCACACCAATGCTATCTGTAAATCCAGACCATTTTATTCTCAACGTATCTGTGAGACCTAGGTACCAGTCTCGAGGGTTGTACTCTGTAGACGACAGGGAAAGAACTTCCATCTGCACTGAGGAAATGGATGGTGGCGTATTTGAGATTTTAACTCCATCAGTAGACAAGGAGTACGTCAGACCAGCATTGTTCTCACAACTGAGGGTGGTGTAGATGGTATACCCTTCTAAAACACTGTAATCAAATTCCATTGAACCTGGTGAAGCTGATATTTCAGTGTAAATAAGCAAGTCTGTTTTACCTGGTGTGTAACCTGTAAATATACAAACATGGTATTAACCTGATTAAGTTTACAGACAGTGTAAATTAGAGCACATGTGTTCACCGGCGTGTAGCTTAAAATTCTACAAACACAGCATTAACTTGAAGTTCACACTGTAGTGTAAACTAGCAAGTACATATATATTTCCTGGTGTGTAGCCTAAAATTATACAAACACAGCATTAGCCCTCATGAACATTACACTGTAGTGTAAACTAGCAAGTACATACATGTATGTTTCCTGGTGTGTAAAATCACCACATTAGCCTGATGAAGTTTACACTACAGTGTCAAGTAGTGAGATCACCTGTTTCCTATAAATTATACATTACATTACAAGATTGTTGAGAAGGGGACACCTCTGTGTGCTTACTGTTTCAAACTTGACCAAAATCAAAGTAATTCTTTTATGATGTCATAAAATCATTGTCATGTCTCTTTCACTACTTTTTCTACTTTATCATAATAATGTGTCATTTTGAAATTTGAAAGTATAAATTCCAGTGAAAACCAAATAAGGTCAATTTGTCTTTTTAGCCACTTTGTTTTTATATATTACAGTTAGTTGAAATCATTTTCCCCCTAGTGTATGTTTATCCATTTAAATAATTTCAGATGACTAAATCTTACCGATTGCCCATTTACAGAACTTGATACCAGATTCCAAGTCCTCTACTTCCCAGTTTGCAACAACTTCATTAAACGTCCAGGAATCCTCGTCAGCACCTGTCACAATAAAAACATCAGTTTAGTACAGTTAAAAATATACCAATTATTTGTATTTCAGAAGCTGTTTAGATGGACGTCAATATATGATGAGTGGAATGGGAATAAGTTCATGTAAAGCTACTTGTTTTAAAAAAAAGATGATTGTAACATGGCATTGCAATAAAATTCACATCTCATGTTAAGCCATTTTTTTTAAATGAGTGTAACACATTTTATTTCTTAATGAATAAAATGCTCCGCTGGGCACAGCTTAATACGACCGCAGAGGTCGAACCCTGAACAGTTGGGGCAAGTATGGACACAACATTCAAGCTTGATACACACTTACTTTGGATTGTGATTAAATATTTGACACAGCATAGGTTTCTGACACAGAATGAATGTGGTCTAAGAACTTATAAATTTTTAATTTACCTGTTCAAACCATATCATTATTATTTGCTTTTATATATAAATCAGAAATAACCAATTTAAAATGGAAAATTTAAAAAAAAAAAAAGGAAAAAAAGGAAAAAAAAAAAATTTTTGAACCCCCTTATGATTCATCACCCCCCAAACTCAATCCAAGCCTTCCCTTTGTGGTATGGAACCTTGTAGTACAATTTCAGAAAGATCCATACACTTACACACAAGTTATTGTCATGAAACTAGAAAAATGCTTGTTTTTTGCCCCTTTTTTGGCCCCTAATTCCTAAAATTTTGAGGCAATTACCCCCAAAATCAATCCCAGCATTCCCTTTGTGATATGGAACCTTGTGGTACAATGTCAAAGAGATCCATACACTAACACACAAGTTATGTCTGGAAGTTACAAAAATGCTTATTTTTGGCCCCTTTTTGGCCTCTAATTCCTTAACTGTTGGTACCATTACCCCCAAAATCAATCCCAACCTTCCTTTTGTGGTATTGAACCTTATGGTAAAATTTCATAGAGATCCATTCACTTAAACTAAAGTTAGAGTGCAAAAACCAATGTGTCTTCGGACGACGACGACGCCAACGTCATACCAATATACGACCACAAAATTTTTTTGCGGTCGTATAAAAAAACTAAAGCAATTCTACTAATTTTTATTATTAAAGTAAAAGTGTCAAATGTGTGAAACACATATGTTTTTTTATTATCAAACATAATTGCATTTATACTCATCATTTTTGGGGCCAAAGAAGAACTCCAGAAAGCATCTCCACTTCAGTATAACATAATTCAAGACTAATATTATAAAATGCAATGACTTTTTTCTGTTTAAAAACTTGCGCCATATTCTTGTTTAGTCTAAACACATTAAATCTCAATAACTTTGTTAAAAAGTAAAAAGATTCAGAATAAAATCCAATATTTATATTACATAAACTATTGACACAGAGATATGTCTCGCCTATCGGCATAAAATTCACAAAAAGACAATCTGATGGACAGAAACATTGCTTATTAATTCAAGGTCACTGGACCATGATCTAGTGAGCAGGGCCTCGAAATGGTCGACAAACTGAGATGTACAGACAGTAATGTAACTTTATAGAAAATATTGCTGTCTATTCAATAGCATAATAATAGACTCTATTGTAAGTAGTTCCTATTAATCCAACTTTAGCAGAAAATTTAACATTGAAAATTGTTAATTAATTCAAAGTCACTGGACCATATCCTAGGGGTCAGGGCCTCGAAATAATTGTCAAACTGATATGAACTGACAGTAATGCAACTTCATACAAATTGATCTATCACAAGTAGATCCTATCAAACTAACTTAAGAAGAAAACTTAAGATTGAAAATTGCTAATTAATTCAAAGTTGCTGAACCTTGAGCTAGGGGGCAGGGTTGAAATAGTCATCAAACTGATATGAACTGATAGTAATAAAACTTTATATTAAATATCAATGATCTATCACAAGTAGTTCCTATCAAACTAACTTAAGCAGAAAACATAACAATATGTTGATGCCATCGTCCACGTCACCATCCCCGGAAAAGCAATCCCTATGTCTAGCTTTAAGCAGGTGAGACAAAAAAATAAATGCAGATAACTTTTGTTGGTATATGATTTTCAAAACCTAACATCCAATGTATGTGTCTTTCAAAATGAACATACCTCTACCATCATAAATATATTTAATATCAGGTGGTGTCAGATCTACCAGTATGGGATCAGAATATGACACACCCCTCAATCCTGCAGCATTAGTAGCTATAGTTGTTACATAAATAAAGGTGTTGTGGACCAGTGTTACATTATTGTTAAAGGCAAAGTTCATCAATCCAGCACTTCTGAATGGTTGGATCTGTGTACCTCCCTCTGCATAACCTACAACATAAACAAAGTTAATCAGTTCCACAGTTCTTAATGATTGGATTAGTAAATGTATAACTGGCAGTTAAGATCAAGGTTTATCAGTCACACACTTCTGATTGGTTGGATGACAATGGTGGTCCTATTAACAAAGAAAGACTTAAAAATATTTTGTCACTAACTTTTGTTATAACTCTTTTTGACTTACTAAGCTGTCAACAAAGATTTATTTCTCACGTAGTTGAATACAGCAAAACAAAATACTAATTTGATTGACTCCTATATGTACTGCATGCACTATATGTGTAAGGAACTAATGTACCCAGTACTTCTCTATAACTCATGTTCAGAAAATGTAAAATTGAACATTATAGTTTCTTAAAATGAACATGGCTTAAGTGATAGGCCTCAAAGTCTTCAAAATATAAAGTTAATGGAATAACAGTTGAACTATCAATTATGACAAGGTATTTTACAAACGCAAACCTAATCAGACAACATTTGAAGAATATAAAAATTAAAGTCACTGAAGCATAACAGAGTGACAGGGACTGTATCCCATAATATCACATTTGACCTGACACTATTAACATTAGCCAAAAACTTCAAAATATATGTTGTAATAAAACAAAAACCTCAGACAAAGAATACCATTGTCAACTTTTTAAAGTAGCAGCAGATTTGGGAGAGACTTATCTTTATCATAACACCAGGTACTTACCTATAGCCCATGTGTAATCAATAATGGGAGAATCTGGATCAGAGAAACTCCAGGATCCATGGATAGAACTCCATTCATGTAAATAAACAACATGACCATGCACATTGCCACTTGTGGCACCTGTTGTTAAGTTTACTTCCTGTACAGAAAGGTCATCTACAAATATCCCCGTAGTCATGTCCATACTACCTATTGTAATATTCACTGCATTTTCTGTGGGTCTAAAATAGACATGGTGTGTATGCCAGGAAACTTCTTCACGGTCTGAACTTATTCCATGTCCATCTTTACGATAACTTTTAGTGTAAATTAAGAATACCAGTCTTTCTCCATCACCAAATTGTATAAATCCTTCTTTATTGGCAGCCACTGAGTTGGTTATTGACAAATGACTACTGAAGAAGGAAACTCTGTAAAGCTGTCCAGCAATAACTTGTGGTAATTCTTGGTGCACATTTCCTCTTATGAACAAAAAAGATCTTCCATCTCTGGCTAAATTAACATCAGATGATACCACAGCCATACAAGTAAAGGGTGATGGTATCCATGACAACGGATGGTAACTAGTGGAAACCATACAAATATCAATAGCAGTAACATTTTCAAACATAATTTCATCTCCACCTGTGTTTTCAAATGATGTATTATTCCCAAGTTTATCAATAACATGAATGAACTTTTCAGGAACGGGAGGAGTTTTGTCAATGATGGCACTATCTGATACAACAATGTCTGACTTCAGCCCAGCGCTATCAACAGAATAAACTTTGGCATATAATCTTGTTCCTGTAGTATAAAAAATAACTTTCAATTTTGTTGATATGAAATCTTCCTGACATGTTCAGTATTAAAGTAAAAATATAAAATGTATCACAGCATACAAGACCAATAATTTACATAGTGTAGTTACTATCCACGCCAATCTTGAGTCAACAAGTGGGGAACTTGAGGACAAATAATTATTTCATGCAATCTAATGGTAAATTTACCATAGTGTGACAAAGTCATTTTTTAATATATAGAATATGTCATAATGTCAGGCTACAGATTTGAGCATTTTTAAAAATCCCTCGTGTTGCTTTCATTACTGTGATCTCTCAACACTGAACTGAAGTATCTCTTGGATACTGGGAATGCACAATTCTACCCACTTAGTAATATTATAAAGTGTTTTTGTATCTGTGATAAATTCTGTTTTTCCTTAAAATTAAAGACTTACTGCCAGTGTTTATTAAATAAATAAAGAATGTGTCCATGGGACAAAGATTATGCCCCCTCTTGCATATAACGTTATAAAGAGGCATAACTCAAGAACAGTAAAAGTGACACCACCCAAATTCGAACTTGATCTGAGTTTTGTGGTAATAATCATTGTGTATACGTTTCATAACATTTGGTTGAGGCAAACTAAAGTAAGAAAATGGAAATGAAAAATTCAGCATTTTTTCCATATATAAAGGAGCACAACTCAAGAACGGTAGAAGTGACACCACCCAACTTCGGACTTGATCTGTGTTTTGTGGTAATAAGCATTGTGTGTAAGTGTCATAACATTTGGTTAAGGCAAACTAAAGTTAGAGAATAGAAACCAATTTTGGGACGTATGTACATACTGACAGACGGACGGATGTACGGACCTAAATGGTTATCACTTACTACCCCCTCCAGTGACAGTGGGGCATAAAAAAAAATTGTCAAGCAACAAGCTACTAACAAATTCCCAAAATAGTTGTTAAAAAGTGTTTTCTTTTCTTAATGCTGAGTGTGTGGCACTGTTCAAAAATTAAAAACTGAAAACATAAACTGTTACCTTGGGGTATTTCAGTAGATATATTACTAGAAGCAGATACATGTAAACCAGCATCTGTCCATCCCAGTACACTACATTCCGTCTTGTCTCGTTTCCTGTTGTCTACAAAAGTTGTCGTCCCAAAACAAAAATAGTATTTCTCTATACCAGATTCAGTATCTGTAAAGCCATGCCAGTGTGCAGAAACAGATTCAGATGAGTTCATAAACTCTAAATCTGTACTTCCTGAAAAGTACAAATACATATCTAATTCAGATGTAATCAATGCAAAGTACAATAACATATGTCATTCAGATGTAATCAATGCAAAGTACAAATACATACTTCATTCAGGTGTAATCAATGCAAAGTACAATCAATGCAAAGTACAAGTTCATACTTCATTCAGATGTAATCAATGCAAAGAACAAATACATACTTCATTCAGGTGTAATCAATGCAAAGTACAATCAATGCAAAGTACAAGTTCATACTTCATTCAGATGTAATCAATGCAAAGTACAAGTACATACTTCATTCAGATGTAATCAATGCAAAGTACAAGTACATACTGTAAATTCAGAAATTATTGCGTGCATTTATTATTGCGATTTTGTCATTTTAGACGAAAATGCGATTTGATTTTTTGCGATTAATTCATATTAAAACATTTAAAATGCGAGTTTAAATTATTGCGATTATAACCATGTCGCATTTTTCACAATAATAAAAACATCGCAATAATTTCTGAATTTACAGTACTTCATTCAGATGTAATCAATGCAAAGTATAAGAACATATGTCATTCAGATGTAGTCAATGCAAAGTACAAGTACATACTTCTTTCAGATGTAATCAATGCAACGTACAAGTACATACTTCATTCAGATGTAATCAATGCAAAGTACAAGTACATACTTCATTCAGATGTAGTCAATGCAAAGTATAAGAACATATGTCATTCAGATGTAGTCAATGCAAAGTACAAGTACATACTTCTTTCAGATGTAATCAATGCAAAGTACAAGTACATACTTCATTCAGATGTAATCAATGCAAAGTACAAGTACATACTTCATTCAGATGTAGTCAATGCAAAGTACAAGTACATACTTCATTCAGATGTAATCAATGCAAAGTACAAAAATACATCAAAATACACATAATATTGCTTAAAATCAGATACAATCAATGCAAGGACAATTTTGCATTTTTCAAATTAATGAGATGCATTGGTACATGAATATCTAAGCATTAAGCTGTAGACAAGGCAAATAATTTCATCAAAAGAAATTCAACCTAAACAAAACAAATTTTTACTTGTAACTCATTATTTGTATGTAAGAACATATAAAAAACACCTGGTTTATAATCAACAAGAGGCTGTCGGATTGACAGCAAAAATGCATGAAATGATATTTGCAAATCTGGACCCCCAAACGAGATCAAGTAAAAAAAAAATGATTTTTTTAAGGAGGCCGAAATGGAAAGGTCAAAATCAATCTTGACCACCAATTTATCATAAGTGACATAATATTAGAATTTAAGAGAGTATATAAGTACACACACATTTGTTCAGCAGGGGTGGGTAGGTAGAAATCATGCAGTCAATAATGAAAGAAATATGTTTACGAGATTATAACCTTATCTAACATGAAACCAATAGAATCTTGTGGTCTCTCCAATGACTTTCCAGAAACCCACTTTCAAATGGTTCTTGTCTTGTTTCTTAAAAGTATCACAAGATTTTCATCTAAGCCTTTTCAAGTTATCGCATGGACAACGCTCTAAGTATCACTTTATGCTACTGTAAGGTCTATAACGCATCCACAATAAAAGCTAAAATTGTGAAATTCGAACTTGACCTTCTTCTAGTCACAGGAAACAAACATATCTAAATCAGAAAAGATTTCGTCAAAGTGTTTTCAAGTTATTGCTTGGAAAGTGCTCTAAGTATCACTTTTTTGCTACTTAAAGGTCTACAACTCAACAACGATAAAAGCTAAAATGTTGAAAATCGATCTTGACCTTCATTTAGTCACAGGAAACAATATATCTAAATTTGAAAAAAAAAGAATTCGTCAAAGCGTTTTCAAGTTTTTGCACAGACACTGTTTGGCAGCCGCCCGATCAGAACCCTGACCGCCTGCCAGCTGTACATCACCAAATTAATAACCAATATTTTCCTTTTGAAATCCGATTAAAAATGGGTCTAAGTCTCAAATGGCCTGGTTGCAATATTTGTGACTAATCAATATAGAATGTTTACAATGTAGTTGCAATTACATGAAGGTTGTAAATTTTACTGGAAAATAACTGAGTTCCCAAGTCTGGGAAATGAGAAGAAGTTCCTGAAAATAATGCTTAATAGCAGTTGCACAACTTCAACATATGTGCAATCTTCCTGTGAAGTTTCAGGAGCCTGGGATGAAAACGGTAGGATGAATTGATTACATAAAACTTGTTCCAAATTTCCCCTGCCTGCTAATCGGCCCGACATCAACATACCCAGCCAAAAATGACTTTAGTCAATTACAATTTACTAGAAGTAGCTGTTTCCGATAAATGTTTCCCAACTTACCTAGTCCATCATAAACAATTCCTGACTTAGGTAGTGTATAGTCAATAACAAAACCATCTGATGTTGCTGTTGTGTGGGCTCCAGCATAATTATAGGCTATAACGTTTGTGTAATGGACTACACCTGGGGTTAGTTTTAGACCTGTCATGTTGTACTGTTGGTCTGTTCCTGGAATGTCATGTGCTACTCTAAGAATATCATGTCCTGAAATGTAAAAAAAAACAGACTTCTAAAACATACTGGAAAGCTGTCTGACAAAAGTCAGACTAACAAAGATACTTTTACAAATGATAACGAAAAAGATTATACAGAATCTTGAATAGATTTGAATTAGCTTTTTGGTTATTCATACACTCAACAAAACTTTTCATTTTTTGTCTTGGGTTGAAAGAACATCTTAGAATCCTATTGATTTAAAACTATTCTTAAGTAAGACATCCTGGCACAAATACAATACAGAATTGGTTCAGTAGGTGTGTTGATGTTAGTGACCAGCAGTAGTACAGAATTTAAAAGCCTACACCAATCAAGGGGCCTCAGTGGCCGAGTGGTTTATGTTGTTACTACTGTAATCACTAGCCAGTCAACACTGAGGTTGTGAGTTTGAACCCCGCTCGTGCGGGTGCACTCGACTCCAATCTTAATTGACTAGGATTGTCAGTTTTCCTATCGAAGGTCGGTGGTTTTCTTCCGGCACTCAGGCTTCCTCCACCAATAAAAACTGGCCGCCACGAAAGAGCCCAAAAGTGGTGCTTAAAAGTGGTGTTAAAACACCAAAAATTAAATCAAATCAACCTACACCAATCACTCTAAAATTATGCCTATTTAATGATTTGCAATTTCTGTGTAACTAATCTTTCACCATAGGTCATTTTAAATTGTTTATTGGCTCTTCCATAATCTAATATGTGTGGATGTGGTTAGGAAGAATATTTGAATCTAATTTGGTGAGCAGTATCTTTCGACAACAGCTTTAAAAATTGTATAGAAAAAAATTAATAGGTTTATAATATTTGTGGCTGGGGTCATTAAAAAAGTGTCTACTGACCAACCATACAAACATATGTCATTCTAGCACTACCCTTATTGTTGTTTCTGATAATTAGTATACAAAAAAAAACCCTGAATTTCTTCATATAAAGATTTATCATACTAAAGGAATTTACAACTCGAGTCAGAACTCACCTCCTGGGAAAGTACTAAGATAAATACTGTATTTCTCTATAGTTTTATCATACTCCAGGAATTTACTGTTCCAGTCAAAGGTTATAGGTCTGCCTATCTGCATGAAGTCTGTGTCTTTAACTGTAGTTCCTCTTATTTTTTCTATTACCTTGAACATAAAGAAACCAGATTATTTATAACATTACTTGCCTATGATATAAACTTGTTTAACATATTGCCTATTTGAGATACAATACTTATAAAATAAAATGAAGATGTGATATGACTGCCAAGGAGACAACTCTCCACCAGATACCAAATGACGTAGAAGCACTTCTGTTGCATCAATTTCCTTATACATTATCAATAACATGCCTAATTTTGATCTATTAAAGTAGAAATCTATGCCACAACATCAATTGGTGCAAATCCATGCTTGATACTGGTATTATGCACAGCTAATGAAACCAGCATTGCATGATAAGGAGTCATACCATTATCAAATCAAGGTTATGACATCACAATATTTGATTACATAGTATGTGCACTACTTCACTTCACATTCACTCTGAATCTGATTGTATAAATGTTTTAAAATGTTAATATGACCATATGACGGATGATTGGTTTAGGTTGTAAGCTCTTATTAAGTCTTTGAATTTTATCACTGAGTCTGTCCAATTACTGCTTCATCCTTCAAAAGAGGGTATTTGTTTTTTAAAAACCTCAAAACATCTTATATTCCTCATTCTATGTAAAGTAGATCTGAAAAAAAATAAAAGTTTGACTTTGACAGTAGTCAACGCTTGGTTTTGTCTTAAAACCACTGTTCCACCATATCTACCTGTACTTCCAAGCCAAGTACCTCATCCCCTATTCCTTATGTATATTCTATGTATCTATCAAACTCACAGATTTTCCTCTAACAGAAGCTAACACAGGAGCTTGTCCCATTACAACTATTCCATTCGATTTAAACACAGCATACTGGTCTGCTGAGTACCATATTCTCACAAACACAGAGTAAATCAAAGTATTCTCCAATTTGTCTCCTGAAACAATTACAAATATTTGATATTGTTATACTTGTTTAATAGAATGATCTTTATTTAAGTCTATGCTTCATTTCCTTCATAATTTGTTGGTTGTTTTTAAATTTGTTAATTTTAATAAAAGTCATACCTTTTTATTTTGATTAACAGAAACAGTTTCACTTTGAAGAGACAAATTAAGTACCATTATTTAATCAAGATGGAAACAATGATGGTTCTACTTTCCATATAAAGATAAAATATAGAGTTAAGAAAATTTTGTTCAATCAGTAAAAAAAATCTTTTTTCACATTCATTAAACACTACAAAATAAAAAATGGGTATGCTTGTTTAACTTCTAAAACTAACCAGGTTTAGTAGAAAAAACACAGTCCTTAAGTTGACCGCCATCTTGCCAAACTTTTTCTTCCACAGGATCATATATACCAGATGGTAAATCAAACTGAGTGTAACCAACACTCCATTCATACCTTAAATAAACAAAAGAAAAACTGATTAAACTCAATATCACATTTAAACTTGCAATAAAAACAGAATTTAGTGAGCACTCCATTAAAGCCTGACATGGAGTAAATGGAGATCAGTTGGCATTTCATGCATACCTGTAACAGAGTTAAACTAAACGTACCAAAAGAAATTTCATACAGGAAATATTATATCACATAGCTTATCAACCCTTCATTTATGCTGGAGGAGTCAAACTGAGTGTAGTCAACACATCGTTTATACCTGAAGCAAGACTTATCATTACTCTAAAATATACATATTCCTAATCAGTTATGACAAGGAGTTCTCCTTTAAACGGCAATTTAGCTGTTACAAAATACTTAATCACAAAGGAGTAGGTTAGATAAGGCCCTAAAATGGCCCCTATTTCTAGCTACAATTTTAAACTAGGACTTATTGACCAATATCACAACTAATCATAGCTAATACAATGAATAGATAGACATTATGTCTTTTTGTTGAAAATTTATGTACTTGTGTTCTTTTCATGACATCACAAATAGCACTCATTTTGATTTTCCACGAAAGTTCAGTGAAAACAGGTAAATTTACATTTATTTCTTTGACAGGAAACATAGAGTGCATAGGTTGACAAAAAAAGATATTTTAACATAATGTTTGTTATAACATTTTACATATCTGACTAGAAAATTTAGTTTGTTGAAGCCTGCGCTCTATATTTCCTTGGTCTCAATTTGGTTGAATTCTGGACAATTTTGTCAAAATTCTCAAAAATCTTTAAAATAAGCTTTTGACAAAAATAGTTCTACTGTGGATTCATTTATTTTCTTGGGTACCAATTTTCGTGGATTAAGGAAAACTTACATGTTCGTTGATATTTAATTTCGTGGTTTTGACGAAGTCTGCATACAAGCCTATGGAAAATTTGTTATTCGTTGAACATTTAATTTCGTGGTTCACCTGTACCCACGAAATCCACGAAAATTGGTATCCAACGAATAATAATGAATCCACAGTATTTAACTTAGCTTTCTTAGTTGTCTTAATGAATAGTTCTCTCTCTTGACTTCTATTAAGGTTTCATGCTTTGTACTTGGGGAAACAATTAACATAATAATGATGCCATTACAGCTTAAGGGATTCTATACATTTAACTTACCATAAAGGTTTCATTTCATATACTTGGAGGCAATCTACATCCCATATAATCTATAATCTAAAGCCGCTTCAGATTAATCATGGAGTTTTCTCCCTTTCATGCCTTGTACTTGGGACACAAGCCACATAATATATTATCTGATGCTGTTATAGCTTAATCATAGAATTATCTCCATTGACTTACCATAAAGGTTTCATGCCTTGTACTTGGGACACAAGCCATATTCCACGTAATATATTATCAGATGCTGTTACAGCTTGATCACTACTAGAATAGCCATTACTATCTTTTACCAGTAGAAGATTGTTGTGATTATCTAAATGAAAAATTAGCAAGAATGTTTTAAAATTAAATACACTTAAATGTGTCTATTAATTTAGATCATCTTAAACAAATAACTATATCATCACTATTTTCTTATTTCTTCAATGATATGCAGTGTTTGTTGCTTATTCATATTTGTTTTTCCAATCATGATCAAAGTTGACTTCATTTAACTGTAATTTTTGTTTACCAAGTATTCCTTTGTATTTCTATGTTTATAAATCTAGAATGCATACATCTTAATGTATACTCTTATATTTTTATAAAGAATGCAATAAAACTATTTCAAATCTTTTCTAGCTAGAAAACCGCTAAGTATACCAGTCACATCTGTTGAATACATTGAAATCAAGATGATAAGTTTCCTCCAGCTGAACTTTTAAGGTATTTTCCTGCTGTTGTCAAGATTCTCAGTATTTTGACCTATGAAAATCAGAAGAGTGCAGTATATTTGTTGTTTGTTTACTAGCTGTCTGAAAAATCTTTTCAACTATAAACAAGGTTTGGATTTACAGGCCTTTTGTGATCCTGTGGAGCCCATACAAAATGTCCATCACATGATCTTGTCATACTTACTGTTTGACACATCATTACAACTAACAAGGTTTGGATTTAAAGGACATTTTTGATCTTGAGGAGCACATACACAATGTCCATCACATGACATAGCATCACATCTCCTGATTAGATCTAAAGGTCCCCCAGGTACTTTTTTAAAAGCTGAATGGATAAGTTTACTTCTCATTCCAACCTGCAAAACAAACATGCAAAAGTCAGAGATTGATTTTTTAAAAGTGTTATGGATACTATACATAATGTTTGAAACACATCCTGGTCTTTTAATTACTGTGACTGTGCTATTTGAATTGACCGTATATTTATCTGAGATATAGTCACGACGTATATTGCCTTGTTTATGACATTGACACTGTATTTCTGTAGAGTCTTATTTCTGACACCAATAAAGAATACAGGTTTGCGGAATTTCTCACCCTCTGCTTTATATTCAAAATTTAACCGTTAAAACCTTTTTATTTGATGTGTCACTGATGTGTCTTTTGTAGAGGAAACACACATCTGGCATACAAAATTAAAAGCCTGGTATCATTGATGATTTATCTTTGTCCTAAACATAAAAAATAATTAATTGAACATATTTACTCCATTGACAGCCCACACAGATATATACAGCATATCATATTTGGTCAAAGTTTTGGTGTCCACTTTAAACAGTTGAACTTTTCCTTCATCACCATGGTCTGTGTTGGTATTTGTATGGTAATATTTGGCATCTGTATCCTATACAAAAAAAAATGTATGTTCATCATGTAGTAGCCAAAACTTCTGAAAACAAATAATTTGCAACTTGTTATCAGAAAAAACTACAGAGCTTACATGTACCACCAATATTTAAGAAAAAGTTTGTTTTCCAATAAAGACATGTGAAACTTTACTGTATTTCAACCATATATTTATCTTTGTGCTATATTTCAGCTAGTCCTTATCATATTCAATTGGATTTTTTTCATTGTCCTTTCCAATACAGATAGAATAATCAACCACATCATAATTTCTTTTCATAATACCAGAGACAAAGCAAGCATGCATACTTCATTTAAGTCTTCTATTGGTCTACATATAATGATTCTACATCCATTTTATAATGGGTCCATATTACATACCCATTTCAGTTGTACATACCGCGTTTAAATCCTGGCCCATATAAAGAGACCCCACAGCTACTTTATAATGGTCTACATCAGAATGTAGGTCACTGAAGCCTAACCAGGCCAGATTTACAGCTCTCTGTGACCAGAGCATCCATCCTTCCGCATGTCTCAGGAGTTCAGGATCAGCAGCATGATCAGTTGTTATAGCAAACATACCTAATCAACAGAGAAACAATACTTACTGTTGAAAGAAAAGTCTACCATGGAAAATACCTGAGACACATATCATACAGTCTGATATGTCTGGTATGTTTTATGTGTATGTATTTAGTAAGGAGTTAGTGAGAAAAGTATAGGGTAGAAAATACATCAGAAGAATATTAAACAGTCAGCAACGGAAAATACAACAGAAGCATATCATACAGTCTGCATCGGAAAGTCTGGTATTTGTTTGTTTGTATATAGTAAGGATTTTATAATCAATGCTTTACTATTTCTGCTGTCTGTTGAGAATTTGATGTGGATCCAATATTCTGGTAATGTTTTTTGAAGGCATAGAGAATAATTTTTATTCCTGCACATATTCTAACTATCATACATACTGACATGATTAATATGCTTTATCTTGTAGAGTAAATGAGTATGAGTAAAACACAAATACAGGAAATGTACTAAATATTGCAGCTCCCCAACCAAACATTGACCCTAATTTAGACACTAACAAATGGTTTATGTTTATGACTTTCATACAATTGAGGAATATCACTATTTAGTACAGTTCCACCAGAGAATCCTGAATGTATACAAAAACTTACCTCTAGATGGCGGAGTACTGTCTACAAACATTCCCTGAGATGTTGAAGTTATACATATATCAGCACTGTTACAGGAAATTATGGTCACATAATAGGTCACTCCATCATGTAAATCTAGTCCAGTAAATACGTAGGACCTGGCAATACCATTCACCTAAAAATGGCAAAGAAAACAAAATAAAATAAAAGAACAGAGTTCCAATGTCCCCTGCTTTACACATATTTTATCTATCCAGGGGCAATAACTAAAAAAAAACACTTTTTTTGTTGTTCTTTAAAACAATTCATAAACAACAAGTGAAACTGCGAGCTTCTGTTCACTGATGATACCCCCGCCCAAATATTTTGGTATACAGGAAGTTATTGAGTGATGAATCTGGAAATGCATCACACGGTATAGCTGACTTATATAAACCCTGAAACCAAATTTCAGAAATCCTTGTATTGTAGTTCCTGAGAAAAATGTGACGAAAAATATTCATGGGACGGATGGACGGACTGACGGATGGATGTACCCGTGAGATCGTTAACAAGACCGGATGGACACCCGGTATTTCCATGTCCCCTGCAACGCCTTACACGGGGGACAATTACTTGAAAATGATATAAGACCATAACACATGAAGTTCTTAAACAGTAACCACTAAAATAAGGCAACAGTAGTTTATCATTGTTTAAATCTCATGAAAGTATTAATAAGAAGACAAAACAATGTAACAAACAAAAATTGAGTGATTCACATGAACTTCAAAAGGAACGAGAGCGGGTGTATGGAGAGGGTGAGCATCTCTTGAATCCATACTCAGTCAAAATGTCACTATATTAAGTTAAATTACAGATTAGAAGACTTCAGGTATTTGATGATCTAAGACTGCCAATGCATGTCACTACATAATATACTAGAGGCTCTTTATCTAAAGAGCCTGTGTCGATCACCTTGGTCTATGTGCATATTCAACAAAGGACACTCTCCAACATTGTAGACAACAATAGAATTCATGACAAAAATCTCTGATTGGTTGATCTCGTATTGCTGATCATTTAGTCTGTTGAGTTCTCTATCTTCTTTAGTTTTTGCTCAAAACACAAAAGAGGGTAAAAAAAATTCTCTTTTAAGGGCAATCACTCCTATAAAGAGTGACAGTCTACTAACTATAATATTGACTTGTTAGTAGATCTTGCCTAGCTGATTATTTTTGTGATTTAAAGTGTCTATTTATCTATTATAATGTTTATCATATAAGGTAAAACACAACAAAATGGTAAAAATCATCATTAAAGGGCAATAACTTCAATTAGGAGTCATCAGACAATTTCTCCATTTGTCTTAATTGCAGATCTTGTCTTGCTGATCATTTTTGTTTATTCAAGTTTCTAACTATCTATTATAATTTTTAAGATATAAGGCAAAAGCGTAAAAATGGTAAAAATCGTCATCAAAGGGCAATAACTCTAATAAGGAATTGACTGACAATTCTGAACATGAGACTCATTTGTAGAACATGTCTTGCTGATCATTTTTGCAATTTAACGTTTCTCTCTATCTATTATAGTTTTCAAGATAATAGGCAAAAATGAAAAAAAAATTGTAAAATTTATCATTTAAAGACAATAACTCCTGTAAGAAGCCGTCTGACAGTTCTGACATACACAGACAACTAGTAGAGCTCAACATTAAGAACATTTCTGCCCCTGTCAGATTTTCTCTATTCATAACTGTTTTCAAAATAAAAGACAAAACTTGTATATTACATATGTTCTATTTTAACCCATGCTGGCCATCTTGGTTGGCAAGCGGGGTCATTGGACACATTTTTTAAACAAGATACCCAATAATGATAGTGGCCAAGTTTGGTTAAATTTGACCTTGTAGTTTCAGAAGAGAAGATTTTTGTAAAAGTTAACAAAGGATGACGACCGGCGCCAAGTGAAGAGAAAAGCTCACTTCAGGTGAGCTAAAAAAAACAATAGATATAGGAAGATGTGGTATGAGTGCCAATGAGACAACTCTCCATCCAAGTTACAACTTATAAAAGTAAACCATTATAGGTCAAGGTATGGCCTTCAACACGGAGCATTGGCTAACACCGAACAGCAAGCTATAAAGGGCCCCAAAAATTTACTAGACTTAGTGTAAAACCATTCAAATGGAAAAACCAACGGTCTAATCTATATAAAAACAAGTCTATATAGTGTGAACATGCACCAGCATCAGATATCAATTGAGATATATGTTAACTCCATCCGATTTAGATTTGGCAGATTGTGTTTACTAACTACCTTTATTATATACTTAGTAGTAAATACAGATAAATTGAATGTGTAATACAATAATTGGCAAGCGTGCTGTATCAGCCACCCGTGATGATATCGATATCAGCACGGTTGAAAAGGCTTTATCACACATTTAATCTGTATGACGTCAGGTCATCGATTACAGTCACTGTTGCAAAGGATTTATCAAACCCATAATCTGTATGACGTCATGTCAAATCTATAATCTGTATGACTTCATTTCAAACCTCCTTACCTGTATGACGTCATGTCACATAAAAAACATCTACGTGAGGTATATGTATATAATAAAGTGTATATGATATGGCTTTTTCAATATCACACACCGTATCAACCCTCAACCAATATAACCCCTCGAGCAGAGCTCTTGGGATTATATTGGTGTCTCGGGTTGATACGGATGTGATATTGAAAAAGCCATATGATATTCTCTATGTATATACCAGTCACCTAAAAATTAAATATTTATATGAAACACAACTATATATAAATAATTTATTGATCCTTTTTTGTTCACTTTTTATATACAGATGAGATCACAATCGAAAATATCAAATTGTGAGACAAACTTGATTAATTGACAACATGACTTTTCTCCTACGGGATAAGAACTTAGAGGGTAAAGATTGCCTTCATTTTGAATTATGAACTTAGAATTAAACACTAAACAGTTCCCTTAGTATACCGTATATAGGGTTTTTTCACGTCGGCTTTTTTTCGCGATTTGATGACAAAATGGGCAGGTTAAAATTTCACTGAGTATAATTTTCGCTGAAAGGGAAAATACACGCGAAAAAATAACTGTATCGTATTGTTAAAAATGTAAACAACATAAGCTTGATTGACTGACAGGTAATCTGTTGCAAATACATATGGGTACTACAAACGAAAATACACATAATTCAGTGAACTTTCAACGAACATAGAATATGTACAGACCATGGGGCATGCTAAAAATTGAAGCTATTGATCATTGCAGATAAACAAGTATCTGTGTAAATGTCATTTATTTTTATTTTAATTTTACATCAGATGAAAAATGTTCGTGTTATGACACCAATCAATAGATCGTCGCTAATTAACATCTTTTTACCTGTCACTGATTGCTGTGTTGTCAAAAGGTGTGCCATATATGATTAGTAATTTTAATTATTTATATAAACAGAGATCTTAATTAAGTATACACTTTCTTGTGATCTACCGAACAACACAAAAGACTTGATAATCAACAGTATAATGTATGAAACTTTCAAACAATAATAAATCTGGGAATGTGCAGTGAAATTTACGCAAGGTCAAATTTTCGTGTTTCTTGAACTGCCGCGAACAAAGCAAAAATTAGACACACGCGAAAAATACCCGATATACGGTATATAAGAGTGTTCACTTAAAGACACTTTATTGAGTGTACTCACAAAATGCAGGTAGAGAAGACGGTTGAAATAAAGCTACATTTGTAACCAGCCAGTAACTTGTAATATTTATTCCAAAAATAAACAGATAGAAATGTAACTGACCGTAAAGACAACATGAATTGTCTCCCCTGGTGTTAGATTGACTGCAAACTTACTGATTGTGATGACAACATAAATTCTCCTCCAATATGAGATTTGACAGACAGATACTGTCTTTTTATATATGACTCGTCATCATCAACAGCCCATTCAACCTTCATAGATGTTCTATAAATCTGTGTCAATCCCTTAATTCCAAAGTCAGGAGAGAATGTAGGTGTTGTTGTTATAACAGGAGCTGATGTGTCAACCAGAAAACCATTGGATGTTGATTCTGACCATAAACCTGTAATTATATTCTCATTTAGTTACTTATTCTTAAGAATGTATTATCTGTATTTTAACCTAATAACCACCTCAGCCTTTACTGCTGTATGTGTCCCCAATATATTCATGCTTCACTGCTGCCCGTACGAAATTATAAGGTGTATTACACCTGGAAATATGGTGTAAACCAGGTGTAACGGGTAGTTACAATTCCAGATCCAGGCGTAAAGGAGCAGGAAACATAAATTTGTAGCAATACAGGCGTAGAAAAAAGTGGTAAGCTTGGCGTAAATTAAAATAAGCAAGGCATAACTTTTTCTACATTTGTAAAACTGTTGGAAGGGCGAAAATAATGATACATAGAATGCTTTGTTTGAAGGATCATGGGAAATTTTTCAAAATTTGGCTCTCTAGTATTAGCTCGCAAGAGTTGGACATGTGGCAGCTTGATGTATTCAGGGAAAATTAAGCTTTATTGGGGTGTTTTTTTGGAAGAATTTGAAATTGGAATTATGGAATCAAATCGATGGATGGAATGAAATGAAAGGAAAGTAGTATGTACAGTAAATAATAATTCTGTGAGTAACTTAGTTATTATGTTTTAATTTTTTTACCATTCAAATTCTAGAAATCCTCAGCATTTATAAACACTTACAAAGTAACATTTAAAAATCTTTCATAAATTAAATTAAAGTATTATCATTGGTTTTTGTAGTTCAAATGACAATTTTGATTTTCTTTGAAATAATTTAGTCAAAATGTTAGTTTTATTTTTAGAAAAGTTAACTGTCATAACTCTCATTTAAACTTAAACTTAGTTGTGCCATTGTCTGCTTAAATTGTATTTATTCTTATAGCTTCTACAATGGTTAATATTTCAAGTTTTGTATCAAACAATGAGAAATTGTAAGCAACAGTACTAGTTTGTATTGACATACATTCCCTAGACACTGCGATGACGCCAGGATATAGTATCATTTTTACACCTGGTTTCTGTGTCATTTACAGGCATCACATTTCATACAGGTGGAGTTCATCTTGCTTCACTGGTTCAATATGTGTGTGTATTTTTTTTATTTGATGATAAACTTCAGGTAGAGCAAATCCATATATCTTCTTTCAACATATTAAATACAAAAAAGCAGACATGAGCAGGCACATATTTTTTTCCATTCATCGGCTAGATATAAATATTAATGAGCAGGTGACTTATTGTGGATTCATTATTATTCCAGGGAATCTTGGGTATACCTGAACCACAAATTTAAATGTTTGACAAAGTATAGAATTTTCTATAGGCTTGTATGCCAACTTTGCAAAACCACAAAATCAAATATCCATGAAAATAAAAATGTTCCTAAATCATAAAAATTTGGTACCTTAGGCAATGTATTTTATTTTTTATTGTATTCTGTCCTTCAGAGCCAAAGTGATCCACCAAATGATCAGTCAATCGATCTGATCAGTACACACATACAAGAGGCTCTCAAGAGCCTGAATCGCTCACCTATTTCAGAGAAGATTTTTAAATGCTAGCAAACTTGATGAACAAATTGTGTAAAATTGTCTTTAAAGGGCAATGACTCCTTAAGGGGTCAATTGACAATTTTAGTCATATTAACTTTTTTTGTAGATCTTACTTTGCTGAACATTATTGCTGCTTACAGTTTATGTATATCTATAATAATATTCAAAATAATAACAAAAAACTGCAGAATTTTGTTAAATTTACCAATTCGGTGGCAGCAACCCAACATTGGGTTGTTCAATTCGTCTGATAATTTCAGGGCCGATAGATCTTGACCAATTAAACAATTTTATCCCTGTCACATTTGCTCTAAAAGATTTAGTTTTTGAGATATAAGCCAAAAACTGCATTTGACCCTTATGTTCTATTTTTAGCCATGGCGGCCATGTTTGTCGATGGATACAAACTTCGGATACAATTTATAAACAAGATACCCTAAGGAACATTTATTTAAGTTTGAAGGTAATTGGCCCAGTAGTTTCAGAGGAGAAGATTTTTAAATGTTAGCAAACTTGATGAACAAATTGTGTAAAATTGTCTTTAAAGGGCAATAACTCCTTAAGGGGTCAATTGACAATTTTGGTCATATTAACTTTTTTGTAGATCTTACTTTGCTGAACATTATTGCTGCTTACAGTTTATATATATCTATAATAATATTCAAAATAATAACAAACTAGAGGCTCTAAAGAGCCTGTATCGCTCACCTTGGTATATGTGCATATTAAACAAAGGACACAGATGGATTCATGACAAAATTGTGTTTTGGTGATGGTGATGTGTTTGTAGATCTTACTTTACTGAACATTCTTGCTGCTTACAATTATCTCTATCTATAATGAACTTGGCCCAGTAGTTACAGTGGAAAATATTTTGTAAAAATTTACAAAAATTTACAAAATTTATGAAAATTGTAAAAAATTGACTATAAAGGGCAATAACTCCTTAAGGGGTCAATTGACAATTTTGGTCATGTTGACTTATTTGTAGATCTTACTTTGCTGTACATTATTGCTGTCTACAGTTTATCTCTATCTATAATAATATTCAAGATAATAACCAAAAGCTGCAAAATTTTCTTAAAATTACCAATTCAGGGGCAGTAACCCAACAACGTGGTGCCTGATTGGTCTGAAAATTTCAGGGCAGATAGATCTTGACCTAATGAACAATTTTATCCTGTCAGATTTGCTCTAAATGCTTTGGTTTCAGAGATATGAGCCAAAAAACTGCATTTTACCCTATGTACTATTCTTTAGCCATGTCGGCCATCTTGGTTCGCGGGCGGGGTCATCGGACACATTTTTTAAACTAGATACCCTAATGATGATTGTGGCCAAGTTTGGTTAAATTTGTCTTAGTAGTTTCAGAGGAGAAGATTTTTGTAAAAGATTACAAAAATTTACGAAAAATGGTTAAAAATTGACTATAAAAGGCAATAACTCCTTAAGGGGTCAACTGACCATTTTGGTCAAGTTGACTTAATTGTAGATCTTACTTTGCTGAACATTATTGCTGTTTACAGTTTATCTCTATCTATAATAATATTCAAGATAATAACCAAAAACGGCAAAATTTCCTTAAAATTACCAATTCAGGGGCAGCAACCCAACAATGGTTGCCTGATTGGTCTGAAAATTTCAGGGCAGATAGATCTTGACCTGATAAACAATTTTACCCATGTCATATTTGCTCTAAATGCTTTGGTTTCAGAGATATGAGCCAAAAACTGCATTTTACCCTATGTACTATTTTTTAGCCATGTCGGCCATCTTGGTTTGCGGGCGGAATCATCGGACACATTTTTTAAACTAGATACCCTAATGATGATTGTGGACAAGTTTGGTTAAATTTGTCTTAGTAGTTTCAGAGCAGAAGATTTTTGTAAAAGATTACAAAAATTTACGAAAAATGGTTAAAAATTGACTATAAAGGGCAATAACTCCTTAAGGGGTCAACTGACCATTTTGGTCAAGTTGACTAAATTGTAGATCTTACTTTGCTGAACATTATTGCTGTTTACAGTTTATCTCTATCTATAATAATATTCAAGGTAATAACCAAAAACTGCAAAATTTCCTTAAAATTACCAATTCAGGGGCAGCAACCCAACAACGGGTTGTCAGATTCATCTGAAAATTTCAGGGCAGATAGATCTTGACCTGATAAACAATTTTACCCCATGTCAGATTTGCTCTAAATGCTTTGGTTTCAGAGATATAAGCCAAAATCTACATTTTACCCCTATGTTCTATTTTTAGCCATGGCGGCCATCTTGGTTGGTTGACCTGATCACATTTTTTAAACTAGAAACCCCAATGATGATTGTGACCAAGTTTGGTTAAATTTGACCCAGTAGTTTCAGAGGAGAAGATTTTTGTAAAAGTTAACAGACGGACGACGACGATGACAACTGTGGGCCAGGTGAGCTAAAAACTGCAAAATTTTGTTAAAACTACCAATTCGGTGGCAGCAACCCAACAATGGGTTGTTTGATTCATCTGAAAATTTTAGAGCTGATAGATCTTGACCAATTGAACAATTTTACCCAATGTCAGATTTGCTCTAAAAGCTTTTGTTTTTGAGATATAAGCCAAAAACTGCATTTGACCCCTATGTTCTATTTTTATCCATGGCAGCCATGTTTGTCGATGGATCAAAACTTCGGATACAATTTATAAACTAGATACCCTAAGGAACATTTAGTTAAAGTTTAAAGGTATTTGGCCCAGTAGTTTCAGAGGAGAAGATTTTTTAAATAGTTTACGACGACAGACGACGACAACGACGACGACAGACGACAGACGAAGACGGACGCCAAGTGATGGCATAAGCTCACATGAGGCCCTTCGGGCCCGGTGAACTAAAAAGGGAGGAAGGAACTTTCAAGTCAGGAGAAATTTGTTACAGGCCTTGATAATTCTTGTGGGATTATATATTTTATAAATCAATGGCATTTGATACTTTTTATTTCATACAATATTCTTGTCCAGAATAATTGCCTGATTATTATTTGATGTAAACTGTAATCAAATCTTATTTAGTAATAAAAACATTTGATCTAATGAATTTGTTTGTTGGTATTCTGCCATTCCTCTATGGGGTAAAGTTACAAATGGTTGCAGTGGTGGGACCAATGATTCCAGTATTTGAGACACTGCATTGCCTTAAGTGCTATATCTTTTATGTTTAAATTGTATTGGGAGATTCAAACAGACGTATGAAATGGCACTTATCATATGGATTTTACTCGTGTTGATCTATATATATATAGGAATAATGATCATCACACAACATTTAGAAATCATCAATATACTCAACCAGGAATATTTACTCTTACAAATGTGGGGTAGCGCTTTAATCAAAATTGGTATATTCCTCACTACAGTTAGACAGCACAGATCTTTATTCCATACAATTAGAACAAGCTGACTACACCTAGTAATCTAATTTTTGCCTCGGGTCAATATGCATATCCAGTTATGACCAGTATGCCAGTTACTGAGCAGTTTAAAAATGTAAGTGACAACAGTGTTAATTCAACAGGTGAAAATAATTCAATTTGATGGAAAGGATTATTATGAGTGTATTAATAAGAAAAGTGATACATATGTATCCTCGGCATGAGTTTGTTTGCTGGTTAAAATAGAACTGTGAACTGATATGTTCAACAGTATTTATTCTATTTTTGCTGACAGTGTTTGTAAAAATGTCAGAGGGAAATAAAACAATTACTATCTTCAGGGAAAGAAAGACAAATTAAAGTCAGCTACACAGTTCAAAATTCATTTGAAAAGAATATTTAATTGGACTACTCAAAACGATTGGTTTGACTTTTTGGCAGTATAATAAGATCATTGCTAGACTGTACACCTGTACATATGAGAGAAAACAGCTTGTTTTCCTTTCAACCTTAAGAGGTCCAACAGATATAAAGACATTCCAAACTAGAACTCTCTTTTGCAGAAAATGGAACTTCACTTTAGGCACCTTAATATGAAGGAAGTGTATCTAGTGGGAGCAGAATTGAGAAACAGTACATGAAGGGACAGAAAACTTATCGAAAGTGATAGCGAGAAGTTTTAAGAAATTCTGATTTAGTATAAATATACTTTCTATGATCAGACAGGACAGATGGGAAAAACAACAATTTGTTTGCATTGTATTAAATTGAAAGAAGACATTCCAGTTAAGGAACCTCTGAGAAGAATTTTTCTTTATAAACATCAAGCAATTGATGAAGAAATTAAGAAGTTAAGAGTCCCGTGTGTTGATTACCGGAAATTGAATGATAAAATGATCAAAGATGTATATCCGATTCTTTGAATAGAGGATACCATAGACTCACTGAGTGGAGAAAAGTGGATGTCAGTTTTGGACCTGAGTATTTATGATCATCAAGTGCTATGAATCCATCAGATAAGGAAAATACTGCATTTTCTACACCTAGAAATGGTTTATACCAATATGTTATGATGCAATTTGTATTGTGCAAAGCAAGAGCTATGTTTTCAGGAAATATTGAGACAGCAATGACTTGATTGCAGTGGCATATTCTAGTTTTGTGCCTAGATAATATAATAGTGTTTAGAAAAACATTTGATGAACATTTGGTTAATTTGCAGAAGGTCTTTCCGAGATTATCAGATGCTGGATTAAAGCTTAAAGCTGCAAAGTGTTGTCCTTTGAAACACAAGGTTGAATATCTTGGAAATATTGTGTCAACAGACAGGGTGGGACCAATCCTTCTATGGTACAGGCAATAGTTTAGATGGAGCGCCTGACAAATGTTTCTGAATTAAGATCTTTCATTTGACTGGTTTGTTATTACAAAAGATTTATCATTGATTTTTGAAGTTGTTAAGTGTCTTTTTGGTTTATTGCTTGCAGCTATTACTTTAAGATTGTTCTCAGACCAGGTTTTACCCATGCAAATTCAGATGCACTAAACAGTTGTGGATAATAAAGAATTCTATAAACTGCAGTTTACCTTGGGATTATGTGTATAATTATCTATGATCATACAATATTCTAGTACCAAATAGGTGACTGATTAACATTGAAATCATTTGATGTAGACTTATTATATTTGCCAATTTTCATCATTTTCACCATTTTTTGACAGAAGATCAAAATGATACAGAATAATACTGTGTCTTACCAACTTTATTGTAAGCTCTGACTGTAACAAATATTCTCTGGTTCAACGGTAGTCCTAAAGAAGTATTATAGAAAGCAGCAGTCTCAGTCAGATGAAGTTCTGTCTCTGGTATAATATCAGTGCCTCCTTTGGTGGTTCCTGCCATCCATACATACTTCTCGAGACCAGACTGAGGATCATCAAACCCATACCACTTAGCAGAGATATAACTTCTGTAAAATATTAATTGTTAGTTACAGTTGTTTCGTTAAAATAAGTCAGGTACTATTCTGTAAAATATCTATACTCAATTACAGCTGTTTAATTGAAACATGTCAGGTATCAAGGGTAAGCTCAGACCAAATTGCAGATCAGCAAACCCAAACCACTCAGATATAGGTCCTGTAAAATATTAACTCTTAAGCTGTTTTATTGAAAAATGTCTCTCAAGTATCAAGGAAAAACTCAGACCAGACCGTGTTTCATTAAACCCATGCCACTAAGCAGAGATATAGTTTCTGTAAAATATTATCACATATTTACAGCTGCTTCATTGAAATATTTCATGGTAAAAGTTTATGTAGATAGCTGCTACAGGTTTCATCAAATTAACCAAAGAGCAAACACATAAACATATTGAATACTAGGAACCTTCTGCTACTGTTACCAGGACATAAATGAGTTGTGTTAATGGTTAATGTTTCTACTTCACATAATATAATTTCCAACACTACTCTTTTTCTTTTTTTAAAAAGGAATACATCTGATTAGTAGCAATCTTACATGATAGACTGGTATTCTGTGTCATGGAATCCAGTTCCATCCTGAACCATTCCAGCAACAGGGGCACTGTTGTCTATAATAACGCCATCTGAAGTCACAGTAGTACACATATCTGCCGTGTTACAAGCCGTCACTGTGGTATAATATCTCAGCCCTGTACCAAGGTGGATGTTCTCTAATGTAAAATCTGAAGTAAAACAAAAAATACATATGTAAGATTTATTTGTTACAAATTTGGAATGATAAACATGTTCATTGTTGTGTAAAATCTCAGTCCTGTACCAAGGTGGATGTGCTCTTGCGTAAATTCTGAGGTAAAACAAAAAATACATATGTAAGAATTATTTGTTACAAATGTGGATTGATAAACACGTTCATTGTTGTGTAAAAACTAAGGCCTGTACCAAGGTAGATGTTCTCTAATGAAATTCTGAAGTAAAACAAAACATACATATGTAAGAATTATTTGTTACAAATGTGGATTGATAAACACGTTCATTGTTGTGTAAAAACTCAGTCCTGTACCAAGATGGATGTTCTCTAATGAAATTCTGAAGTAAAACAAAACATACTTATGTAAGAATCATTTGTTACAAATGTGGAATGATAAACACGTTCATGGTTGTGTAAAATCTCAGTCCTGTACCAAGGTGAATGTGCTCTTATGTAAATTCTAAAAATAGTTCAAAACATACATATGAAAGACTTATTTGTTACACTTTTGCAGTGATACATGCCGACACTGTGGTGTAATATCTAAGACCTAAACCAAACTGGATGTTTGCTCATGTAAATTGTAAAATAAATATTTCAATTCAGATCTATTTAATTTTTCTTTTGATTGATACCTTTAAAATGTTCTCCCATTTGTAAAATTGGTAATAAAAATTTTAATTTATTTTCTTTTTGTGATGTTTGCTGTCTAATTATGATATCTGCCTCAATTAATTTGTCATACAAAGATTGAATCTGTCTATGGAACCAAATTCTTTGTTAATTTTATAAGTGTTTTTCATTGATTATAATTAACAATAAGTAATTCTGACAGCTGTTAACTGTAAAGTATCTTCACATTATGGACATGCTCCTACAGAAACATAATAGTCTTTAATAATGGATTGCAATTTTTAGAGATCTAATTAAACATAACATGATGTAATTCCCAAGGCCTGTGTTCCTTGTAATTATCTTCACATTGCGGACAGGTCCTTCCAAAAAATAAATAATCTTTAATGGAAAGGTGAAATTTTCAGGTGGTCTAAACAAACCATACCTAGTTCCTTCGGCATGATCCTTTAATATATCTTCACACTGAGGACAGGCCCTTACAGAAACATAATAGTCTTTAATGGTGGATTAGGATTTCAAGATTTTTAAACATACCAAATGCAATTCCCACAGCCTGTTCCTGTAAAATATCATCACACTGAGGACAAGCCCCTACAGAAAGATAATTGTCTTTAATGGTGGATTAGGATTTCAAGAGTTTTAAACATACCATATGTAATTCACACAACCTGTTCCTGTAAAATATCATCACACTGAGGACAGGCCCCTACAGAAACATAATTGTCTTTAATAGTGGATTAGGATTTCAAGAGTTTTAAACATACCATATGTAATTCCCACAGCCTGTTCCTGTAAAATATCTTCACACTGAGGACAGGTCCCTACAGAAACATAATAGTCTTTAATGGTGGAGTGAGATTCATGGAAACCTTCCCAACAGGCATGTAACACTTTGGTGTCTGTCTGGTAGTCAATGTCCTTGACACTTCCTGTCAGCTGACTTTTATCTCCATCATACACATGACCAGGTGTAGGTGGCGTTGTGTCCACTTGGAAAGCCCAGGATGTAGCTAATGATGATAATCCTGCCTTGTTAAATGCCTAAATAAATGAAAATATATATCAGTATTAAATTGTCATGAAAATCTAATCTCCAATATGTACCAAATAAATATTTATGTCTAATGACAATTATTGGAACGTAGTGGTGCACTTATTAAAGCTTAATAAAATTTATTTTAACCATTCTAGAAGCTGGTGAAATGCACGTCTCATTTCTTCAATTTCAAATTGAATGCAATAATTACAGCAGTATGTATGGTTGTTTTCTTTTCAAGTAAGTTATAAAATGTTCTCTGAAGATCAAAACACTGTATAGACTACACTTACTTACCCTGACATTGATATAATAGAAATGGCCATCCTGGAGATCTAAAGGATTATTTTTGTCTGACCTTCCACATTCTTCATCAACAACCTTCAAATATGACATCATATCTGTATATCCTGGCTCTGATCCAACTGACCACATGTAATAATCTATACCAGATTCTAAGTCAAGGAATACATCTTTCCAACTAAATTGCAAATAATGAAAATAGATGTATTGGTATGACACAAATGCAGAACGATGGAAAGACATCATAATTTGTTATCAGTTTGTTCAGTAGTATTTTGTATTGTCCTTCAAGTTGCCTCTTGCGCAATCAATCTTAACAAAAAACTTTTTTTTATACTTACTGTGTTTGTCAACAATCATTTCAAGCATGACAAGTCTAAACATATATAAATAAAGGATTTGTAAAAGCATTCTTGATAGACATAGATTTATATCAAAAGTGTTTTACCTTGACTATATTCACCATGTATCTATTTCTGTTGTGAATGTAATATGCCTGCTTCTTATAATTATACTTACCATTGATCTATTTATGTCGTGGATGTTATATACTGTTGGTTCTAATAAACCTTTAACCCTTACTATACTTACCATGGATATATTTCTGTTGAGGATGTTATATGCCTGTTGGTTCTAATTAATCTTTAACCCTAACTATACTTACCATAGATCTACTTCTGTTGTGGATATTTATGCCTGTTGGTTCTAATTAACCTTTAAACCTAACTATACTTACCATTGATCTATTTCTGTTGTGGATGTTATATGCCTGTTATTTTTAATAAACCTTTAACTCTAACTATACTTACCATGGATCTATTTCTGTTGTGGATGGTATATGTCTATTGGTTATAATTAACCTTTAACCCTAACTATACTTACCATGGATCTATTTCTGTTGTGGATGTTATATGCCTGTTTGTTAAAACTATTGGTTTATTACTAGTAACTGGTGGAGTTGTATCTATGATAACTGGCTCAGAAACAACTTCTGTTTCTCTGTTAGCAAAATCAACAGCTACAATGTCAGAAAAAAAAAAAATTCAAAACTTGAGTTGTAATGATCAATGGTAATTCTTCAAATAAAATATTATGAACAAAAATTCAACTTGCATTGAAAACACATGATTGCTCTCTTTTACAATATTTAATATTTTATATTGCAAACTTATGTACAGCAGAGAAGCAGAAAAAAAAAGAAAAAATTGATGAATTAAACCTTTCAAGCAAATGTTCAATGGCTGATGGATAATAAACTTGTCAACAGCAAACCAACAACACAGCAAGCAAGAAGACATCTACAGGTTTACATACCTTTTTAAACAAATGACAAGTGTTAAATCTATCTAAATTAATTATTTATTTTAACACTTAACATATTTTTTTTACAGTTTTATATCTTCTTAAGCAGAAAATGTTTCAATTTTAATCATTAATATTTCAGCTTTAACTTGTAAGCTAATAACCTCCACCAACCTTTCAGAGTAGCATAATACTTGTAACCATTCTGCAAATTAAGTTGATGTAAGGCTTTATGTTGTAGTACTCCAACATTCTCAAAAGCAACAACATCATTACCCCCACTAGATGTACCTGGTAAAAATAAATCAAGCAAAACATAATACCCCTGCTAAATATACCTGATATATACATTCAGGCAACAAAATTATAAAAACTAGATATTCTCAAATAAATATAATTCAGGCAACATCACTACCCCGCTAGATGTACCTGTTAAAACAAAAAGGCAGTACAGTACACCCCTGCTTGATATACTTAGTGTATAAAACCAAGGAACACAATTATAAACATCAAAAGATAATCTTAGGGAAATATAAATCAGATAACAACACAAAAAGTTCACTGGTCAATAATAAACGCTGTGCCATGAGCGCATGATACGCCCTTCCGTCTTGTGTGTGAATTTTTATGCAATAAGCATAAATAGTTTCTGACATACCGCGTGACATGTGAAAAACCCCTCCCCCTTTTTTTACAAAATACTCAATAACTCAAAAATAAAATTTTGAATCATCACCAAAAAGTATACAGATCTTAAGGTTAATATAACTAAGAAGTGTGTAAAGTTTTAAGCAATAATCATAAACTGTTTTTGAGATAGGGCCTGACATGTGAAAAAAAACACACACCTGTTTTAGTTACTAAGTCCCGTAACTCAAAAAGTTTTAATCTTATTTTCACCAAAAAGTATACAGATCGTTTGATCATCATAAGAAACAACTATGTAAAGTTTCATGAAATTTGGATTAGTCATTCTCAAGTTACGGTGCGACATGTTTACGCCGGACAGACAGACGGACGGACACCGGACATTTGTATAACATAATACGTCCCGTCAAAAATTGATGGGCGTATAAAAACCAGGCAAGAGGCAACATCATATTCCCACTAAATTTACCTGTTTACTATATACAAGGCAACAGGCAACATTATACCTACTCTATGTATAACAGGTTAATTTAAATCCGGCAAAAGGATATCATATCCTAATAATATTTTTTGGGGAAAATATAAATCAGACAAAATCATCTTTACCTATAAATACAAAGCAGGCAATAACATTGTTTACCCTTACTATGAGCTCCTTGTGAATATAAACCTGGCAATTACATCATTACCCTTACCAGAAAGTATTACTCATATCTCTACAGTGACAGGAGTTTTGTAGGTTTTTATTTTTGAAATTGATCTATGATCCCATTCACTCTTGTCATTCAGTACTATGGTCTTGTCAAATACAGATATTTTAAAATGTCACCTACATATAAAAAGTCATTAGCATCAAAATGAACTAATATGTGTCAATGTTTCGTCTACAGCAGATCATGAGATCTCTAACACAAGGAATGGGAATCTTTTATAGGCTATGTTTACATAGATGACACCATGTTTAACAAAGTAAAAACAAAAAAATATTCTATTTATAGGGGAATTCTACTTCGACTGCTGAGAAAAAAAATTGGATGAGAAATGTTTATTTTGTTTTAATTCCCTCCCCATATACCCACTTAATATTTTGGAATAGATAAAATCCTTCATAATACACTTGCACCCCTTAAAATTTGTAAATAAATCTCATTTATTGAATTGCAAGCAAAATCAGATTATTCGGCTAATATGCTTTTCTCACCAATTCCTAATATGTATTCTTTAATTCCAGATGGGTGTGGTCCATTGTTAAATTCTTCCACATCTTGGAAATTGTCCCAGTTTACATACATATCTGAGTCTGAAGTCTAAAATAAACAATTTGAAAAATTAATCATTTTTATTACAATAAGTCAATTTTTATAATTGAGGTAACATTTTACAACACGGACTGCATTACCAAAAACAACAATAGTTTATGTGATAAGTTGGCAGAAAACAATACAGTCTGAAGCAGCTATAAAATATTTCAAACCAAACAATCCTTCTAAATTTAGCTGCACAGTAGCAAAGTGTGTACTGCTGAGGCGGTCAACAAATGTGTGTTTGATATCTTAACATAATTCAGAAAAAAGATAAGAGATGTTTGAAGATCTTTTTAACTGGATTTTTACCTTGCACAGACACACTTTTTCTGGTCATTAAAGTAAAATATGGAGAAATTACTCTAAAAATCAGCCCTATTTTAATAAATTTGTACTTTGTTGAACAATTAATTTCATGGTATATCTACACCCAAGAAATCAACAAAAATTGGTATCCCAAGAATAATAATTAACCCACAGTACTTGTCTGACATCCTATATTTACCTGTTTCTGACCTAATATCTGTATAATGTCCCAATTCTGACAACTAAAATGTTCAATACCGAACATAGATTGATTTTTTAAAAAAAAAATTCAAATTTTACTGGTTTGCATCTAAATAATTCAAGCAAAGTTGATTTAGTTCATCAGAAATATATGTATAAAATGTTAAGATGATAAAATTAAAAAGGTATCTGAGTGATAACCTACATTGTTTACATAATAGTGGGAACATGCGCTTAGGTGTGAAATTTATTTACTCATCTGAAGCACTGGTTAAAATTAAAGTCTCAGGAGTGATTTGTTTTTAAAGCCCTTCAAGAACACAATCAAATGAGATCTGTGGAGATACAATGTATTTATGGCCAGTAAGACATCATTGGAGCAGAGTAAACTTATATTGTAAATTGTAATGGAGAAAAACTAGAAGACACAATTAAGGCTGAAGAATGATGAATACATACCTGATAGACTGTATTTAGATTATGACCAATCCACAATCTTCCAGCGGTAGGAGGAGTTAAATCTACGATTATTCCATCACTACATGCACTGACAGCTGGTAATTGTTGTATCCATTCTTCATTCACTATAGCAGTCTGAGCAGCATGTATACATACTGTGTATCTTGTACCATGGACCAGTTCATTGTGTGTGAACTCTTCATTCATAAATTCTCTATCTGTAGCAAAACATGATATTTACAAACGTGCAGTTATACATATGATATTAATTAATAAACTGTTGCTTCATTCTTCATTCATTAATTTTCTAATCTTTATGAATTTATTAAAAGAGGATTTTATATATATCAGATAAGCTGACAAAAAGAGTAAAATTTAGAAATTATTCTTGAGAAAATATTTAAGTCATCTAAAAGTTAAGTGCCAAACTTTTTCAACAACAAAATTATGCACATTAGTTTTTCATATTTTAAAATGTTGTGTGGAAAATTCTCATATTTTGGGAGGTTTATACATGGCAGAGGCACTATTATTTCCCTAGAAAGACAACATATGGATAGAGTTCTGAAAAGAATATGAGACAAAAGCATTTATAGAAAAAATAGGGTCACTCTTTTCTGCTAAATAACAAAATGGATAAATTCAATGTATCTACATTATTTGAGTTATCTCCCCCTATATAGTAAAGCTTTGAAATTTTTATCAATCTTGTATGGTCTGATTTTTTATAAAGAAAAATATAAAAAATCATAAGATGAATTCATATTACTGACTTGATAATGAAAAGTCTAATAAATAAAAATTCATTTCTGCACTATAATTGTTCTATTGTAGTATTGACTCAACTGATTATTTGTAGTAATTTGTGATCCAAGATGGCATAAAATACCAATTGTACCTTTATAAACAGAGAGTCAACTTCAATTTGAATAACTTGGAGAACACTGTCATGAAAATGTTTTACAGAACTGGGCATGTGTGCTGCTATCAAACAGTAACCTGATGTGGGAGTAAACTCTTCAAAATGGTGTTCTTTATTCAAGAAATAATAGATGACAATAAAATAAAAATGAATTTTCCCTTCCTAGACCGAATATAAAAATATAACAGACTGTGATTAAATGGTATGCTGTATAACTAACAATGCATACATCAATTGGTTTGGTTGAATATAAGTCAAATTCCTTTCGCCAGCATTTTAAGAGAAATGTTAACTTTCATAATCCAAAACAATAGCTGAATATAAAGTGGTATATATATCAAGGATACCATTTTTATTTGCGATCAAAACAACAGATTTGCTAGATTTTTGGTTATATTGGTATAAAAAAATGTGTATTTGGTCACTTGTTGCATAAAAGTAAATACATGTAGTCAAAATTCACTGAAATAATTTTCATTTCATTTTCAACAAATTCTCTGCCATCTTGCATTTTGGTTGGGTAGAACTTGACTTGGGTTAAAAGATCAAATGATGACATTACAAAGTTACTCATACCATTTAATTTTAACTCTTAGTAACTCCATTAACCTGTGTTCATCATATCAAAGTTGACCTGGGCAATGTTCTTAAAACATGGTACGAAGAGAGACAACACTTACGAGTTTCCCCACATCTGATAGCATCTGGGATACATGGATCTACCAAGTTCAGCTGACCAACTTGTTTGTAGTACGTTGTAACATCAACATTCCTGGCATCTATAATGGCATATTTGTAATTGACATTCTCTCCGTGACGCAGAGTGGGCCACACTGCTGAGATAAGATTTTTGTATGGTGTATAATCCTCGTCCGCTGGCTTCCATCTATCATTCTCTTCCAGATAAATTGGAATGCCTACTCCATCTTAAAAAGCATACAAGACAGACTGTAATTGTTAACAAAAGAATTAGCTCATACTTAGTTATTTCTGAGTTTAATTGCACCAAGAGTGTGCTGCATCAGCTTGTATAAACAAAATGCTTTAGTTTGTATTGGAAAGATAATTTTCAAACAGAAAAAGGACTATTTTTAATTAATATATAATTTCTTGATTATATTTACCTAACATAATCATTATCAATGTTCTTTTTGGTAAAAGAAAATAAACCTTTTGTCTTTAAACTAAAAAGTCTTAACATATAATGTGGACCATAAACTATCTAATGAATACTAATATGTTTCACACTAAGTGTTTATCAACAAAAACCTACAGGAAAATACAAGCAAATCCTTTCTTCCTAAATGAAAACAATATGCAAGTTTTCCACTTGAGAAACAAAATTTGAACAGTATAGATATAATCTTAAAAGCAATTCAGTCAAAATAATTATATAAATATCAGAAAGCACTGACTTCTAATAAGCCAGCACATTTTGTTTACCACAGACATGAAATAAACTGACCATTTGCACTGGCCACTCCTACAGCATCTATCACAATATTTGGGTTGATAAGGATGGGATTAAATGCTTTACAATCTTTAATTTCTGTTGATACTATGGAGTTTAGTCTAACTTGGTCATATCCTCTGATAGAAAACTTCTTACAACGAGAGAAGTCCATCTCTCCTGTTAATACCATTTCAAAGTTGATCTGAAATCAAAAAGTTGGTTTTAAGTCACTATTATTAATATTTTAAACTTCACTATAAGCAAACTTCTACAATTAAATTCTTTTTTGTCTATTCATCTCAAAGCAGGAATAAATATATAATTCTAACATAGTTTGTACATCCACTGAGACTTGTTAGGACTTCCAAAGCTGGGCTTTTTGAACCCGAGAGTATCAACAGAATAGTAGTCATAATTTTCATGTTGACATGAAATATTCATTTCCTATGCCGTATTTTACACAAATTTTAGACATTTTGTTTTTTATTGATGGTCTTTGACTGTATACTTGATTTGATTTTGATTCTGCATTATTTATCACAAACTTAATTGTAATAAAATGCTTCGCTGAGCGCAGCCTGATACAACCGCAGAGGTCAAACCCTGAACAGTTTTTTTGCAAATTTGGACACAATATTCAAGCTTGATACTGTCTGAATTTGGATTGTGATCAAATTTTTGACATAATATAGGTTTCTGACAAAAAATAAATGTGGTCAAAGATCTTACAAATCTATTGCACAATACTGTGCAATTGAAGATTTCTTCTTGAAACTTTTCAAAGATTCTAAATTTGAAAAATTTTGAAAAAAAAATATGAATCCCTTAAAAAAATTGGAAAAAAAAATCCCCCCTCCCCCCCCAACTTTTTGAAATCCCCTTGGAGCAATAACCCCTCCAAAACTCAATCCCAGCCTTTCCTTTGTAGTATGGAACATTGTAGTACAATTTCAGAGAGATCCATACACTTAAACACAAGTTATTGTCTGGAAACTAGAAAAATGCTTGTTTTTGGCTCTTTTTTGGCCCTTAATTCCTACATGTTTGGCGCAATTAACCCCAAACTCAATCACAGCCTTCCCTTTGCTATATGGAATCTTGTGGTACAATGTCAGAGAGATCCATACATGTACACACAAGTTATTGTCTGGAAACTAGAAAAATGCTTGTTTTTGGCCCCTTTTTGGCCCTTAATTCCTAAATTGTTGGCCCCATAACCCCTTAAATGAATCCCAACCTTTTACTTGTGGTATTAAACATTGTGGTACAATTTCAGAGCAATCGAAATACTTATACACAAGTTATTATCCTGAAACTAGAAAAATGCTTGTTTTGGGCCCCTTTTGGGCCCCTAATTCCTAAACGGTTGGGACCATCATCCCCAAAATCAATCCCAACCTTCCTTTTGAATTTTCTTAAAAAATTTCATAGAGATCCATTCACTTAAACTAAAGTTATTGTCCGGAAACCAATGCGTCTTCGGACGATGACGCAGACAACGACGACATCATACCATTATACGATCCCAAAAAATTGTTTGTGGTCATTTAAAAAGGACTTTTCCAGCATCAAATTAATCTCAATACCTCGATAGGACTTAACAATTAGAACCATACTGTTATAACTTCTCACCCTATTTCCATTTGTGGTAAAGGTATCTAAGTTCATCCATGTTATATATGTCTTCCCTTTTACAGAGTTATCTGTCACTGCATATTCATATTTCCAGATGGCGCTATATTTCTCTGTTGTGTCTTCAATATCAGGATCATAAAATTTATCAAATGATATCATCAACTGTAGTAGAAATAAATTATATTTCAGTCTTTATTTCACCTAAACTTTAATATATCACTGGTCTAATTTTTAGAAAAACAAAAACACATACTTTAAGCATACGCACATTCCAGAAAAATCTAGTAAACCTTTTGCATAATTATTTTTTAAAGAAAAATTACTACCAATTGAATTATTTCATACTTCCTTAATCTCAATCTGCATCAGATTTAAGTTTCAAAATTAAAGAGTAGAATTATTTGACCATGTACTAACCTTCTCAGCCCCACCAGTTACTGTGGTATTTAGATGTTCCACAGTTATGTCCCCTGTAGCTGGAGGATTAGCCATCACCATGACACCATCTGTACTGACTGGAGAGAAACAGAACATCCTTGCACATAGCTTCAGTGTTAAACGATACTTTATGCCTGGACTTAGTACCAAATCATCTATGCTGATGTCAAAAACTGTGGATACATGTACATATTCACGAAAGGTAGTCCATATGTCTACAATATATAAGCATTGGTGAATTTTAAAGTATTAAAATCAAATAAGAATAAAGAGTATATATAACTAGTCAAGAGTAAAAGTAGTTAGCAAACAGGGAAATCAAAAACTGATAATAGGTTACAGTATATTCATATAAGTCCAACATTACGGCAAAAAATTCAACTCATTAATGAACATACTTCCAACAGTTGATCTTTGTTCCACAGCAATAAAGGCATCCGTTGTATAAGGTTTTATATTGTCTGGTACTGTCCAATAAGCCTTGAGTGAATTCAGTGACAACTGGACATCAGGTTCCTCTTCACAGTTTATTCTGTTGTCCTGTAAAACAAATATTAATGTAAAAAATAAGACTATATTAGTAGTAGTTTTTCTGGTGCTTTCATTTTCAGTATACTAGTATTTTGCATTACCTATTAAAGTTGAAAAAGACTAACCTGAATAGTTTCACTTCCACAAATATTCCTTTTTTTAGAGAGATAGCGGAAGGGGGCAAATATTTTTTTATAGTTATTGGCATCCAGGAATGAACTTTCACAATTAAATGTGTGTTGGTGTTTTGATAAACTGTCTTATATAGAAAAAAAATACCGGTAAGTAAATATCTATTCTTCAACTCAATAATCTTTAATCTTAACAATGATATTAAGTGACATACCTCTTCATGATGGTCCACAATCAGATCTACAAAAGACAACACATATGTTTACCACTGAAAAAAGTTTTTTTTTTTTTTTTTTTTCAGCATCATTGGGTTGCTGTCTTATTGATGTTAACTGTTAAATCACCTTTTAATCATATATGTGCTATATATATACATGTACTTAAAACATTATAAAAACTTCAAATTTGTTCACTTTCGCACTCATTTCCTATGTCACAATGCTTATGTTATTACGTCACAGTAAGAACCGATTGTTCAATGATTCAATTACGTCAATTGACCTTGGGTCAACCTGTGTAACTCATTCATAAAAACAAAATACAACTTGAAATTGGTCTATACGTGCGTAACATTTTGTCATTTGTAAACGTCATGAACACAGAGTCATCTCTATCTTAATATGGCAGCAGTTAAGTAATATATACTCACCAGTCATATTACAGGGGTCTCCATCACTGATTACAACTCCTGGCAGAACATCACCTTCTGTTACTATGGTAACACCATCAGAAGATACAGCTGTGTTACCTGCAGAACTTACAGCAGTCACAGTGAAATAATATGTCTACAAAACACAGAAAAAATCATAAAGTATATTCCTGCAGTCACAGTGAAATAATATGTCTACAAAATTACAGCAACAATCATGACAAGTATATTCTTAAAATACATGTTTTCTATATTTGAACTTTTTGACAGTTTTTACGTGGGGGGTCTTTTATAGCTGAATATACAGTATTAGTTTTTCTTATTGAAGGCTGTATGGTGACCTATAATTGCTTACGTCCACATCATTTGAACTCTGGTGGATAGTTGTCTCATTGACAATTATATCACATCTCTTTATTTTTATATTATTATGACTATTGATTTTGAAATTATTGATTTCAGACAACCTCAGTGAAGGAACTACCAACCAATAAAGTTTCTGAAATAATATTTGGGTATATCAACAGTACAATTAGTGTTAAATTCTGGCAACTAACATTCATGTTTTATTTAAATTTAAATAGATATATTTATGAGATGTGATACACTCTTGGTTCCTGGTAAGCTACACTACATCCTTCACAGATAAAAAATCAATTCTTCAACAAATAATATGGTTACTTAAATTGATTCATGATTATTACCAGAGTTAGAACTGGTTCCCTGTGAGCTAAACTGTTATTCAAATTCTTTGTAGATACAATTACACAAATATTGATGTTGACTGAAGAATAGAACCTGATACAGTGTCAGAGACAGTCCTGTTTGCTTATCACCTAGGCTGGTACACATATCTTTCAAAGATATAACATCATTTGCTTCTGTTAACTTTTTGTAATAGAATAATTCCTACAGATTAAAGGACACTATTACCTGATAAGGTGTCAGAGACAGTCCTGTTTCCTGGTGAGCTAGACTGGTACCCACATCCTTCATTGATACAACATCACTTCCTCCCATGGTAGTACCAATACTTATACTGTAGGTTACATCTAAATGTGGATGTGCAAATCCTGACCAGCGGGCAGCCATACTGTTGGAGACTTTCTGGAAATCTGTATCTTCTTTGTCCTAAACATACAAGTTGTTAATGACAATGATAAACTGGTTAACTGGATAAAAAGGGTTCAAAACAAGCTCTTTTATCATAATCTTGACAGTGATATACTATTAATCTGCATGAAAAGGGTTCAAAACAAGCTCTTCTATCCTAATCTATCAAAAAGACTGATCTTTGGTTAAACTATGAACTGGTTAATTTCCTTTTTTTTATGTAAAAAAAACATTCATAAACCAAAAAATGCCTTTGAAATACTTGAAATGATTCCAATACATACTATACAGCTTAACTTGTAAACATACCATTAAGGGAATATCTGTAGAGAAAGACTGAAAGATAAAAAATAATAAACACGTCATTTTGTGGATAATAGACTATGGCTAACTCTGTTCATATAAAAAGACTATGTATAACTCAAAATGTTTTATGTGTTATTCCCTCCATTTTATTCTTGAACTGAACTAAACTTAACAAGGAATGTGCTGTCAAATTGACAGCAATCCAGTTTTCTGTATTTTAAAACATTCATGCTTGTTTGATCTGCCACATTCTATGCCTGTTTTGCAATCTATAAAGAACCATCACTTCTAAATAGCAAAAATGAAAAATGTCAATATTGAACATGACCACCATTTTGTCATCAGTTACAGCATATTAAAATTTTAAGAGCATTGGCTGGATGGTTAATAAGTAATTTCACAGAAACGACATAAAGTGCCAATTTCCAATCTATCAATGACAACAACTCCTGAATGTCAATAATTCAAATCGCCAATATCGAACTTGACCACCATTCTGTCATCAGTAACAACAAATTTTAAAAGCATGATTGAGTGGTTCATAAGCAAATAGGTAATTGCAAGAAATAAAATAAATTGTCATGATGTAATATAAAATATATACCTCAGTGTCAATATCAAGAACAACACCCTGTGCAGGTAACTGGACATCATGAATGTATGGAGTGGATGTTTTTATGTTGACCAGTCCAGCTGTATTGGTCACTTTAATGGATATATAGTATGTATGATGTCCATGGATATTCCATTCAAGATCTGTTATATTAACAGCTGTACAAGTTGGGGATACGGTTAACACACATGTTGTACTGCCTTGTACAGGTTTAAAGTTTTGTATCTCAGTTCCATATGGTGTGTGACCTAGAGAAGGAATTAAAATCATTATTCAACCAAAACAACCTTTTCAAAAGCATTGTCAATGGGCCCTGGAATATTCAAGTCAACTAAACATTTGGAAAAGTTTACTTGATGTGATTTTTTTAAGAACATTATGTTCAAACCCCATTTACGATCTCATCTAACAAATAATTCCTAACCTGGGAGTCTACAACTAGAGGCTCTAAAGAGCCTGTGTCACTCACCTGCATCTTGAACAATGGCCACTTTCTGGTAAAAATCATCATTAGAGCTCTATAAAGATTTAACTGATAATTTCAGTCATGTTGACATATTTGAAAATCTTGCCCTGCTGATAATTTTTCTATTTTAAAGTTTCCAATTATCTATTATAGTTTTCAAGATAATAGGCAAAAAATGCAAAAAATGTTAAAAATTATCATTAAAGGGCAATAAATTCAGTAATGATTTCAGTCATGTTGACATATTTGTAGATCTTGTCTTGCTGATCATTTTTTCTATTCAAAGTTTCTATTTATCTATTACAGTTTTCAAGATAATAGGCAAAGATTGTAAAAATTGTAATTAAAGGGCAATAACTTCAATAAGGAGTCGACTAATGTTTTTGGTCATGTTGAATTATTTGTAGATCTTGTCTTGCTGATAATTTTTTCTATTTAAAATTTTCATCTTTCTAACATAGTTTTCGAGATATTGGGCAAAAACACAAAAAAAAATGGTAAACATCATTAAAGGGCAATAACTCTAATAAGGAGTCGACAGAAAGATTTGGGCCATGTTGACCTATTTGTAGATCTTGTCTTGCTGATTATTTGTGCTTAATAAATATTTTGTCTATCTATTATCAGTTTCTGCCAGGTGAGCTAAAAAAGGAATTATAAGACATTGAAACTGGCATTTATCTGAGTGAAACGATTAATGAAAGCTAAATTACTGTCAAAGTGCATATCATTCAAAAAGAAAGACAAAAAAAATGATTTGATAATTCACTTTATACCTAAAGCAAACTGGTAATCCATATCAAATAATTCTTCACTATCTGAGAAAGCATTTGCTGCCCAGGAGGCAACCAGATATTCTCCAGACAAGGATACAGATATAGAACCTGTAAAATCTGGTGGAGTTGTATCCATAAAACATGGTCCCAGTGTCTGAAATAAACATTTTTATTACTGAAAAAATATTAATTATTGTTTGCTCAACATCAAATGATAATTATTTCTTGCATGTTTATATAAAACACTTTCAAAATAAATAGACATGAAGTTAAATAAACAATGAAAACATTTAGTAATAAATAAGTATAAAAGAAATTGTCTGAAAGACATAAAATTGAGTTTGAAAACCAGTAAATACCAGTTTGAAATTTAAATTGGATGTACCTCGATGCATGCATTGTTTTTGTGTTGTTTGTATTGTTTAGGTATGCTTAACTTTAAAGTGTAGTTCAGTGTTGATATGATACTAATGATAATTTCAGTACTCTTTTTCATTAAATTAAAACTTATCACTGTCAATAATTTTTGTCTTCGGCTTCAAGTTCAATTTACAACTTCTATTAAATCAAGAAGACCAATGCCACATCTGACCTGCTTCGCTGTGTAAAACTTATTGGTTCAATATACAACTTCTTTAAATTAAACAAGTCCAATGCCGATCTGGACCTGCGTAACTGTGTAAAATTGATTGACATGTCAAACTATCATCAAACAGGAAGTGGCTGCAAGGCAGATCTAGAAATTACTTAAATCCTACAACATTATCATGCTGGGCACCAAATATCAAATCATTCCTTTTCATAGAAGCCAAGAAAGCTTTGATGAAAATTTTGTACCTGTCTTTTGGACGGACAGAATGACTGGTGGAGTCAATCAAATACTAAACCTACATTCGCTGTCCATGAAGCAGTTACCAAATATGTATTATATCAACTATATCTATGAAATATAACAAAAACATACTGTCAGTCCTTCTACATTGGATTTACTGATAGTTTTTATAATGATGTAGATTTCAGTGGCATCAGGTATGTTGGCATGGGTTACCCTGACATGTGCATGTTGTTTAGTAGACTCAAATGCCATGATATCAGGTGCTGAACTTCCTGCTGTCGAAGAAAATCCAACTTCATAATCGAATATTTTGGCAGGTATATCTAAAGGCTCCCAAGACATCTCCATCTATAATACAGAAGTATCAACATCACATATATCATACTGTCAGAGGTGGGAAATAATGATGACAAAACTCTATAGAGAAACCAAAGCATAGTTGGTTATAATCACAAATAGAAGCAGCTAAAGTTACATTACATACACATATTACTCAGGAAGGAAAAGGAAGTTTAATTATCCTTATGCAAGCAAAGAGGGAAATACAATAAGTGCAATTTTACATTTTGTTGATCAAATGATGACCATAACATTACCAAGCAATTTCTTTACATGATGTATTCAGCTGGGGTAAGCAATATTTATTCTTAGTTATATAAAAATCAAAATTTGTAGATTCTGATGAATACTGCTTTGTGATCTTGATTATGTATCAGGAAAGCTTTTCACAGAATCAGACTAATGTTGTGCAGCAAATTTGAGTAGACACACTTAGACTACTTCTAGGTGCACTTGATTACACATCAGAGAAACTTTAGTCAAACTTAGACCATTACTATTAGGTGCACTTGATACAATCCAAAGAAACTTTAGACAAACTAAAAATATTTTAGGTACACTTGATTACATACCAGCGAAGCTTTAGACAACTCAGACCAATACTGCTAGGTGCAATTGATTACTTACCAGAAAAGCTTTAGAAAAACTTAGACCAATAACGCTAGGTGCACTTGATTAAGTACCAGAAAAGCTTTAGACAAAATTAGACCAATATTGGTGGGTGCACTTGATTACATACCAGAGATGCTTTCGACAAACTTAGACCAATACTGCTAGGTGCACTTGATGAATTACTGCAGAATATATTGCCATCTACTTCTATCAAGCTGTCATTGTTGTCAAATCTCTGTAGAGGGTAAAGGTCAATATCACTCAAGGTTCTAGCTTTACTCCTGTCAAAGATATTTTTCAAAATTCTGTTAAATATGAGACTAAAAAACAAAGTATAATCAAAAGAAAATGATATGGTATGCATGTTTTGTAGTTGATAAAAAGAAATAAAGTTACTGAACAAAAGCATTAATAAAAATAATGCATATGAATGCATATAAATCTAATTATAACAGTATTTCTGTTTTGAAGCATTTTATGAAAGTCAAAGACCTATTGAAATATATTGAAGTTGTATGTATTGAAATTGAGCCTTAAAATGCAAAGATTACGATCACAATTTGAGGAATGATCCAATATTGTTATTTTTTCATATTATTCTGTAAATGATACTTTCAAAAAAAATTGGCAGGATATTTCTTTATAGCTTCTTCAAGTTGAAAATCTGACTCTGTATCCAAAGTATTCTACACTCCAAATTATTCAAGTGCTTCATATAACACAATTATAATTGAAAATGAAGCATCGGAACTATTATAATTGACAATAGGGTATATATGAAAATCTGCAACAAATGAAATGCTATATAGTAAAACATAATTTTTCAGCAAAATAGTAAAAGTACAGAAAATATATAATAGTTGACATTTATGAAAATGGACAGCCTAAGCTTGATTTTACTAAAAGGAGATGGAACATTAGTTTGTGTGCAATAATTACAAATCATATATTCAATTTGTCAGTGTATGTGAAATAAAACATGCAATGCTTTAACTTGACCTGTGTTTACTAGTAATAGTTCTTAACAACAATTCAAATTCAAATTATATCCTTGTGGCAAACTTAAGTTATCAAATAATAAACAGCTGTGCCATGAGCACATGATACACCCGTCGTCTTGTGTGTGAATTTTTATGCAATAAGCATAAATAGTTTCTGACATACGGCGTGACATGCGAAAAACCCCTTTTTTTGTACAAAAAACTCAATATCTCTAAAATAAAATTTTGAATCAAAACCAAAAAGTATACAGATCTTTAGATTAATATAACTAAAAAGTGTGTAAAATTTTAAGCAATAATCATAAATCGTTTTTGAGATACGGCGCGACATGTGAAAAACCCCTCCCCCTTTTTTTACAAAATACTCAATAACTCAAAAATATAATTTTGAATCATCACCAAAAAGTATACAGATCTTAAGGTTAATATCTAAGAAGTGTGTAAAGTTTTAAGCAATAATCATGAACTGTTTTTGAGATACGGCGCGACATGTGAAAAACCCCTCCCCCTTTTTTAACAAAATACTCAATATCTCTAAAATGAAATTTTGAATCATCACAAAAAGTATACAGATCTTAAGATTAATATAACTAAGAAGTGTGTAAAGTTTTAAGCAATAATCATAAATTGTTTTTGAGATATGGCGCGACATGTGAAAAAAAACACACACCTGTTTTTGTTACCAAGTCCCGTAACTCAAAAAGTTTTCATCTTGTTTTCACCAAAAAGTATACAGATCGTTTGACCATCATAAGAAACAACTATGTTAAGTTTCATGAAATGTGGATAAGTCATTCTCAAGTTACGGTGCGACATGTTTACGCCAGACAGACAGACGGACGGACGGACACCAGACATTTGTTTTCCATAATACATCCCGTCAAAAATTGACGGGCGTATAAAAACCAAAACAGATGGACATATGACAGGACAGTAGGAATGATTGATACTCAAACTGAATATAACTTACTATCGAAAGAAAGAAAATACAATAATATATGACATATAAATATCATATCATATTTTTTACACCTTTATTTTTATAGTAAAATGGCTAATTTTAGGATAAAATCTGATGAACATTGTAGTAACTTACACACAGTCACCTGTAGGATTTGGAATCAACCTTCGGATATGATCTGATCCAAGGATATAATAACTAGTCTGATTATAGGGTTAAATATGAAATACATTGTAAATACTTACACACAGTCAGCAGTAGGATTTGGAATCAACCTACGTACACGATCTGATCCAAGGATATAGTAACTGGTCTGATTGACATCTGTGACTAATCCACCAGTAATCACTGAATCTTTAACAACCACCTCCTTAACTCCTGGTACAGAACTGTCTATAGTTACACCGTCTGAACACACTGGTTCTGAAGGGTCTAGGGCCCTGTTATAGGCCACAACAGTGAAATAATAGGTTCCATCATCACTGACTGTGTGGCTTCCAAAGCTGTTGTATGTCTCCACAATCTGAACAGAAATCACACTATCATTACTATAACCACCCAGTCTAAACTATCTATCAATCATTTTCAAGCCTCTATTATGCAACCTTTAGGATCTAGTTTATTCAGAACTTATTTCACAGACTGGCAGCCATTGTATTAAGGATTTTCTCCTAAGTATTTTCAATTTCAATCTACCACTTGCTTTATTTTATATAAAAACTCTTTCTTCTCAATGGAAAGTTATATAACTGACATAATTAATACATGTACATATGCATGATATGGATTATTTTCAATAGTCAAAGACTTCTACTCTAGTGATATAGTGATACAGTATTTTCCCATCTTGAACATCCCTCCACAGAAACCACCTTTCTTACTTTGTTCAATGACAGGTAATACAAATGATCTAGAAAAAGAGGAATAAATATCTAAAGACACTGAGCTTATGTTTGGTATGCAGCTGAATTATAACAAGTCACAGAATGAGTTTGTGAAGAACATTCTTCTTGACCCTTTAATGACATTTACTCAGATTTCAGGAATTGTACAGTTTTTGTTGTTTCCACATCTAATTTTTTATGGCTAAGGAAGATAATTTTGTCATGTAAGTATTTTCCTCCTATAACAACAGTCCACCTACATTTGTATTATTTATATCAAGACTAAAGGCACTTTTGTCAGCACAGCTTGAACCAACTAAATACTGGTAGAAAAACACTCCACTCTCTCTGTCAAAGAACTGGTCCCAGTAAGCATTTAGGTCCATTCCTTGTTGGTAGTCTATTTCTGTGTTTCCAGGTAGTCCATCATGGACCACACCTGGGTGTGGTGGACTTGTATCAATAGTTATCTGAAAGGGATGATAAAACATTTTATTTAATCATTGTTTTAAAGAGTTTACCATACTTGTATAAATAAGATATTGAACCTTTTCATTACCACATTCTAATTAAGCTGAATATAAGAAAGTTAAGTCATTATATCAACTGGGAAATGACATGTTATTCTTATGTTTAATGTAAATTTTCAGCTAAGTTTCTAGTATTATCAAATATAAACTGTTAACACAGAGATATGTCTCGCCTATTCGTTATTTTGATAATGCAAATGTTGAAATTAAAATAGCAATACTTTAACATGTTAGTTATGCAAATATTCAAAGTCAATGAACCATGACTGAAGGAACAGGGCTAAACAATCTCCATGGAAATGAGATGTGCCAATGCTAATACAACTGCATACCAAATACCATTGACTTTTCATAAGTCGTTCCCTTTAAACAAATCTAAACACAAACATTAACTTGTAAACTATGTAAAAGTTTCAAAGTCAATGAACCATAATGAGGGGGTGGGGTTATATAATTTCCATTGAAATGAAACTTGCAAATGCCAATACATTTGCATACAAAATATCATTGACTTAACATTAGTGGTTCATCTTAAACGGACCTAATCACAAACTAATACATATGTAAACTAAGCAAAAGTTTCTTAGTCAATAGACCATGACTGAGGGGGTGGGGCCAAATATTGTCCATGGAAATGAGATGTGCTAATGCGTATACAACTGCATACCAATTAACATTGGCCTACCACTAGCGGTACCCTTTAAACTGACCTAATCACAAACTAATACATGAAAATCAAGCAAAAGTTTCAAAGTCAATAGACCATGACCAATTGGGGGACCAAATAATCTCCATGGAAATGAGATATGCCAATGCTTATACAACTGCATACCAAATATCATTGACCTACCACTAGTGGTTCCCCATAAACTGACCTAATCACAAACTAATACATGTAAACTAAGCAAAGTTTAAAAGGCAATAGACCATGACTGAGGGGGCAGGGCCAAATAATCTCCATAATAATGAGATGTGCCAATGCTAATACAACTGCATACCAAATATCATTGACCTACCACTAGTGGTTCACCATAAACTAGACCTAATCACAAACTAATACATTATTGACGCCGACGCCGGATACAGCATACCTATGACTCGCATTTTGACTCTGTCAAGGCGAGACAAAAACCACAATATAGGAAAACCTGTGTTTATATGCAATGCCTGTTAGAACATTACTTACTTTAATTTTACATGTGTTACCTCAAATACATATAGGTACATGTGATAGTTCCATGCAAACACATTGTATAATAATTCTATGTATGTGACCAAACCAACCTTTTTTGTTAAGATGGTTTGCACAAGAGCTTTATTTTTCACTGCAATCTCAATATAGTAATCAGAGTCATGATTTCCTCTGTCAAGACCGGCTTTCAATCCACCATGTACTTTGATTTCTGGTTTCACTTGAAAGTGACGATGGAAACATCCCATAAATGGAGTACAGTAACAGTTAGGTCCTCTTGGGTAAGACAAATATTTAGTTTGGCATTCTGGTAGGTCCTAAAAAAAATTAATATGACATGGTAAACTCAAAATACACGCACAACATTCCTATGAAAGGAACTTTATATAATCCAGCCATTAAACATTAATACAAACAAATCCCAAAACGTTGATCCACATTTTTATTTGTTCTGATTATTGAACTCATGTAAGGTTTGAGGCAAAGGGTAAATTTTATTCAACATATAATAAAATTATAACATTTCCTCATAAACTGTAATTTTCACAAAAATCTAGGAATTCAACATTTCTCACAAATTGAAAATTAATATAATCTATCAAAAGATGAACAGTTTAAATATTTACAATGTCAACATCCGAGAAAAACTGCTAAATATCTATTGCAAGCTTTCAGTAAGAGAAAAAACTTTTTATATGAAAATTTTCAATAAAATTGATTTATTTTATTCATCATACCATTGACATTAAAGTTTAAAGGGACTTATAGGCCCAAAGGGTTGGATATTCTAATTATTGTTTTTATATTTTCACTGTATTATATATTCTATTTTGTGAAAACCACATGTCACTATAATAAATGATTAAGTTAGTTATTTTCAATGATCATTCTGAAAAATGCTTCCTTTTTTCATTTTTTCTGAAATAATTTCATCCAATGGTTTGATAAGAGTAGACACCTTTTATATACTATAAAACAGACTACTGCAACAGATAACATCTACATACATATCTAACATTCTAATAAAATTCTTTATATATACATTATGTATACAAGCATAAAAGACAAGGTATAATGAGGTCATGGAAATTAGGAATCATTTGTTTTTCACACTTACATCAGTATGCCCTTGTGCTACGATATCTTCATGGCCATGTTCTACAAAAGTCTCATAGTTATCATACAATTTCCAGTAAACAGTCTCTAACCCACTGTGATCATCATATGCTTCCCATTCTATCCTGTAATAAACAATCTTCAATATTTACTTGAGAAAAATATGTTGCATCTCTGACTTCAGACTAGTAAGGAACTATTGTTTGGATGAGTAAACAATTTCAAGGAAATAAAGCAGATTTAACCAGTTATGCAATACAAAAAACTCCCAGTTATTGAAATATCAGCCGTGAATTGTTAAAACAAATTTTTACAAAATGAATATATGTCAGGTCAAAAAATAAAATAATATCGTTTACCATGACCAGACTTATAAACCCAAATTAATTAAGTCTTGCTGCTGTGACCCATCTTATTTGACTTGACCTTGCTATGACACTAATAACAAAAGTTAATAAAGTATTGCTGCTGTGAGCAAGCCAATCTGACTTGGTCACAAAAAGCAGCATATCCATAGAAATATCATAACATTAAAACCTTTCTTTACAAATATTATATTAAAAGCAGTAGTTGAAAGTTCTCTTTCAAGTGATGAAAGGAATATACATTCTATATGTGCCTGTCGGAAGTCAGGAGCCTGTAATTCAGTGGTTGTCGTTTGTTGTTGTATATCATATTTGTTTTTTGTTCATTATTTTGAACATAAATCAGGCTGTTAGTTTTCTCGTATGAATTGTTTTACGTTTGTCATTTCGGGGCCTTTTATAGCTGACTATTCGGTATGGGTTTTACTCATTGTTGAAGGCTGTACAGTGACCTTTAGTTGTTAATGTCTGTGTCATTTGGTCTCTTGTGGAGAGTTGTCTCATTGGAAATCATACCACACCTCCTTATTTTTATATATACAAACAACTTATATGACTTGACCTATAATGGTTTACTTTTATAAATTGTTACTTGGATGGAGAGTTGTCTCATTGGCACTCATACCACATCTTCCTATATCTAACACATCTTAAAGTCTGTCACTCAAGCCCAGACCTGAGAATATATAATATGCAGTTTTATAGAATCAAACATACCAATCCTTTACTTTATTTTAAGAACTTATTTAAAGTGTGGAAGCTCTTAGTTACTGTGGATTCATTTATTTTCATGGATACCAATTTTCATGGATTGAGAACAAGAGTGCACATGCTGAAATGTCTCGCCTACTATACTGACCATTGATTTTATGCTGATAGTCCTACATATAAAGTTTTACTACAAGTATCACATTAACATTTATGATCTAAGAAAATGAGGTCAAGGACAGATAAACCAAGCCTGAAATACATGTACACCTTTAATACGATCCCTCCATACACAGAATAGAGATGACCTATTGCTTATAGTATAAAAGAAACAGACCAAACCATGGAATTTCTATACTGGCCAATGAACAATGAAAATGAAGTCAAGGTCATTTAAACCCTGCCAGACAGACATGTACACCTTAAAATCATTCCATGCATCAAATATAGTTGACCTATTGCTTAAGGTATCTAAGAAAAAAAGTTAACCAGGAAAACTGAACATTGACCAATCAACCATGAAAATGAGGTGAATGTCAGATGATACCTGCCAGACATATACACCTTAAAATCATTCCATACACCAAATATAGTTGACCTATTGCTTAAAGTTTAAGAAAAACAGACCAAAACACAAAAACTTAACATAAGGAATGAACCATGAAAATGAGGTCAAGGTCAAATAAAACCTGCCAGACTGACATGTACATCATTAAATATTTCCATACACCAAATATAGTTGACCTACTGCATACAGTATTAGAAAAACAGACCAAAACACAAAAACTTAACATTGAGCAATGAACCATGAAAATGAGGTCAAGGTCAAATAAAACCTGCCAGACTGACATGTACATCGTAAAATATTTCCATACACTAAATTGGTTGACATACTGCATACAGTATTAGAAAAACAGACCAGAACACAAAAACTTAACATTGAGCAATGAACAGTGAAAATAAGGTCAAGGTCAAATAAAACCTGCCAGACTGACATGAACATTGTAAAACATTTTCATACACCAAATACAGTTGACCTATTGCATACAGTATTAGAAAAACAGACCAAAACACAAAAAACTAAACTATGACCACTGAACCATGAAAATGAGGTCAAGGTCAGATGACACCTGCCAGTTGGCCATGTACACCTTGCAATCATTACATACACCAAATATAGTAGACCTATTGCTTATAGTATCTCAGATATGGACTTGACCACGAAAACTTAACCTTGTTCACTGATCCATGAAATGAGGTCGAGGTCAAGTGAAAACTGTCTGACAGGCATGAGGACCTTGCAAGATATGCACATACCAAATATAGTTATCCTATTACTCATAATAAGAGAGAAATTAACATTACAAAAAATCTTAACTTTTTTTTCAAGTAGTCACTAACCCATGAAAATGAGGTCAAGGACAATGGACATATGACAGACGGAAACTTCATATCATAAGGCAACTATATACAAAGTATGAAGCATCCAGGTCTTTTACCTTCTGAAATATTAAGCTTTTAAGAAGTTCGTTAATGCTACCGCTGGATCACTATCCCTATGTCGAGCTTTCTGTGACAAAAGTCGAAGGCTCGACAAAAAATCATGTTTTCGTGGAGATTTTATTTCATGGTCCTGCCAAAGTCTGCATACAAGCAATTACAAAATTTATACTTTGATGAACATGAAAACTTGTGGTTTACCTATACCTACGAAATCCTTGAAAATTGGTTCCACACGAATAATAATAAATCAAAAGTAACTTCTACTGGTATCCCTTGAATAATAAAGAAGCAAAAGTAACTTCTACTGGTATCCCTTGAATAATAAAGAAGCAAAAGTAACTTCTACTGGTACCCCACGGATAATAATAAATCAAAAGTCACTTCTCAGGTAGTATTTAGAAGCAATATAATCATTCTTCTATACAGTACGTGGCAATATTAATAACTGTCTAATTAATTAATTGTCATACTTACGTCATTTCAGAAAAATCCTCAACACTATGAACACTTATATTAACCCTGTCACCTTTGATCAACCAAAGATTTTCTATAATTGGAGGACTGACATCTCTGTACACCAACAAAGACTCCATATTGAATTCTCTAAGGACATCAAAAGCTTGTACAGTTACATTTAACCTATCTCCATCCCCCCAGTCTACTGATAGACTGACGAACTGGTCCTTCAACTGATTAGTAGGGAGGGATGTAAATATCTGTGAATCCTTTAATGTAGGGTCATGAACGTCATAGGCTACTTGGAAATCAACAATACCTGAAATAAATGGTTCAATGTAAATACAATGTTGACACTTTACTTAACATGCGTGTGCTAATCTGTCAATGGAATAATTCTTTTCCATGTTTCACTTTATATTTTTTTTATAATTAAACATAAGCACATGTGCAAACCATCTTCAACTAAAAGCCAAATCAAAGGTTGCATGTATATGAACTCAAATGCAGTTGAATTATCTGTGATGTGTTTGAGATTATTTTTGCTAAATGGAACTATTAAACTGGCTGCTACTGCAGTAATTATTATTTCAATATTACGCTTTTCTTAGTGTTTGAAACATAAAAACTGCACTTTAATGTTTTGTTTAAATCTTAAGTAATAGTCCTTTAACATCTTTATATATAATCTATTATTTATATGAATATCCGATATTTACCATGCATATGTTGAATTTCTGCACTAGTTCTGTTTCCATAGAGATCTTCATATATTGGATCAGCTCCAGGAGCCAATGGTAGAACAGGATTCAGCCAACTATTGTGCTTATGTCGTATATTTTGAAATCTCCCCGGCCAAATTATTTTTACAGAAGGTGTGTCCTCAATTACCCACAGGTATGATGTATCTTTTGAGGCTGTCTCACACTTCATATCGTCACCATGTAATGTTACTACTGATTCATCATCAAAGAAAAAAATTCCTCTACCAGTTTTTGAATTCCCTGCATTATCAAAAGCTGAAAGATGGATGGTATACACTCCTGGTTCTGTGACTGTTACTGTAGCCTGTAAAATAAATAATGAAATAGTATTCATAGCAAAGATGGATGGTATACACTCCTGGTTCTGTGACTGTTACTGTAGCCTGTAAAATAAATAATGAAATAGTATTCATAGCAAAGATGGATGGTATACACTCCTGGTTCTGTGACTGTTACTGTAGCCTGTAAAATAAATAATGAAATAGTATTCATAGCAAAGATGGATGGTATACACTCCTGGTTCTGTGACTGTTACTGTAGCCTGTAAAATAAATAATGAAATAGTATTCAAAGCAAAGATGGAAGGTAAATAGCCCTGTAAAAGTTAATTAAAGCACTTATTAATAGTTTTATTAAACCTCTTAAAAATAGTGTTATAGATGTACTGTATAATAAACAAATCATATTAAACAAATCCTGATTTCAAAATATAAATTTGGTTGAAAATGGAATAGAATATACTTTGTTTTCATAAATAATAAGTAAAAAAAAATCAAATATACATATACATCCTATTTTAACTGGGTTTTTTTTTGTTTTTTTTTTTTTGCCTCACCAGGTTTTCATTAAAAGAAAATAAGACTGGACTAACATTTTGAATTAGTTAATCAAAAGTCATGCCCTCAGACTGCATGGGATATGCCAGTGATATTGTTTGCCTCAAATTACCTCCGAAATACGGCTTTTTCCCCTAGAGAAAATTCCCAATTATTAAGAAAAATGGCATAAAATTCCTCCCAAAAAGTTAAACATTTTCCACAAACGGTGATGGCATCGGTAGTAATGTATGTAAATTTCACGAATTTTTTTTTACTTTTCACCTGAAATGAAATTTTTTACTTATTATTTATGAAAACAAAGAAGATTCTATTCCATTTTCGACCAAATTTATATTTTGAACTCAGGATTTGTTTAATATGATTTGTTTATTATACAGTACATCTATAACATTGTATTCATGTTATTTTTTTTATATTATAAGCGCTTTTGATATCCGGGTTTCTTATTAGAATCATTGCGGTGTTTGTAACACACATGGTTTTCAATGTATTAAGTACTGTCAATTTCTTCGTTTCTTTCCCCTCCCCAAAAGTTCCTTTCCGGTTGAAAATGTCTCACAATTCAAAATATTACGCGAAAAAAACTGTTTAAAAAAATTCCCAATTTCTCTAATTTTCCCAAAATTAAAGGGTAGAGGCAGTTTTGAAAAAAGACAACAATATCACTGTATATATAATGCTCAGCCAGATATATTTACCATTTATCATTTATAAGTTAAAACATAAAAGTTGAATTATGTTATGTTTTGACACTTTCTCTGACCATAAGATCTGAATGAAATGTTGATTTTCCTTTCAACATTGGACTAATTATTTCTAAAATTATGACTCAGTGCACTAGTATGAAAAATTCTAATGAGAAACCAGCTTTTTACTCCTTTATCCTTAAATATTGCAATACAAAAACAAGTTACACAATATTAAATTGCTGAAAGCCCAGAGTTCTGTGACAGCATATTTTTTTATGTATTAGTCAAAATCATGTAATGGATACAAAAAGTGTTGAACCTGAGACCAGGTAAATCCCATATACAAATCTACAGTAAACTTTCTTGCTCATATGTATTAGATTCTGTGGTATAAGTAATTCAGGTACTTCTCAAAAATGTAAACCTTATAAAGACACACACATATATATATATATATATAGGTATTACATTCTGTAATATAAGCAGTTCAGGTATTTTTCAAAAATGTATACCCTATAAGAACATATATATATATATGTAGGACTCTGAACCGCGATGGTCACACTGAAGTGTGATGGTAGCATTATGACACTATCTTCTTGATAGCTACGCCAAAGTGCATTGGTGGTATCATGATGGATTACATTAACTATATCACATTATATACATTACATTTTTTTCAGGTTTACATGTCGATGTAGAAGTCAATTATTTTGTTAGAAGTAGATTTTAAGGTAGTTAAGTAAATCATTGAGAATATGCAGGACAATCTATCAATTACTATGAAACAAATGACATACATAATGTGAAATATATTCTTGTATTTCAAATATTATAAACACTGTTTAAAGAGATACATATAAATTAAAGGTATCGATGAAACTATAATATATAACCAGGGTTCTAACACATGATATTTTTAAAAACAGTATACGATTGTGATATAATCATAATTTGTATGACATACAAGCTTCTTGCAGGATGATCATTCTTTTTCCGACTCTTTTATTTCAACCGTACACATACTTGTACATAGCATTGATACCAAAATGATACATATTTTGGACAATAATGAATGTATATTTCATCTTAACTAAAAATAAATGGGGAACGTGTCCATGGGACACAGATGATGCCCCCCCCCCTTGCATATAAGGTTAAAAAGGGACTTAACTCAAGAACTGTAACAGTGATGCTACCCAAATTTGTACTCGATCTGAGTTTAATGGTAATAAGCATTTGTATATAAGTTTCATAACATTTAGTTGAGGCAAACTTAAGTTAGAGAACAGAAACGAAAAATTCAGCATTTTTTCCATTTGTAAAGGGGTATAACTGTGGAACGGTAAAAGTGACGCCACCAAAATTCATACTTGATCTGTGTTTTGTGGTAATAGGCATTGTGTGTAAGTTTCATAACATTTGGTTGAGGAAAACTTAAGTTAGAGAACGGAAACCAATTTTGGGACGTACAGACAAGGATAAAACTTAATGCCCCTCTGCCATATGGCGGGGGGCATAAAAATCTACTTTTTATAATAATTACACATCTATTATTTTTCACTAGCCGTCATGCTTAATATAGACCATCGCCCATTAGCGAAATGACCATCACATTTCGGCTAAGACCATCGCACATCAGTATCCCCATTGCACCTCTGAAAACAACATATATATATATATATATAGGTATTACATTCTGTGGTATAAGTAATACAGTTATTTCACAAAAACATATACCTTACAAAAACATGAATATATTAGCTGCAACAAGTCAATACTTACAGATGTTGTACCATTAGGTAAAGTACCACTCCCTTTACCACTAAAACCATCCATCAATCCTCCTGCAGTGTGAACCAAGTCAAACAGCTGATATTGGAAATGTGATATTCCTGACATGTCATCAGACCATCCACCCCAGGAATATGTCACAACTGGCTGAAATTGTATAGAAGCAGTTATAACTCAGCCTTTGGTTTAATAAATTTTCCCTATCTAATCATTATTAAGTACAATGTAAAATTGGTCCTCTTCATAAATCTTTTTGTATTGTACTGGCTTTTGACATTTTCAAGTTTCATATTGAAAGGCTATACCATAGTATAAAACATTTAGTAATTAAAAAAATACTTACATTATTTGTTATATCTGACTGTATAGACACAAATGGAGCACAAGCTGTTCCCGAAGCCACAGAGCAGTGGTATGGTAGTACTAGGTCCCAATGGTACTCAAAATCTCTAGTGGTTGTCTGCCCTTGATAAAAGAATTGGTTTATGACTTCTACATGTCTGTTGAAATATTCATCACGATCTTGTGTCTTAACAAACCCTCCATTGGTTGCAGATACTGTGTATATAACTCTGGAATAAAAATAAATACAATCAAAATTCACAGCGCTGAAAAGGGTAGCTAATAGTATGTCTTCAATAATTAATAAACAAGTGCTTATACCATATTTCAATTTTTTAAAAGCCCTTAAGTCTAAAGAAGCTATGTTAAATTAAGCAAGCGTTTAAAAGGATCTGCCATCAGTATTAAGTTCTTGAAAGGACAATTTTTTTTAGAAAATCTAAATATCCCTGACTGTTGAGGTTGCTTGAGGCATAGAACCACTATAATTAAGTCAGGAAGAATTAAATACAAAAAAAATAATATATATTTCAAACAAATAATTCCTATGCATAGCTAAAACTGTCAAAATATGTAAAATCTTTTGGGTAATTTTGATATGAAATGAAAACTTAATGACCTTGGATCAATGTTGAACCCTTGTTGAAGGTTTACTCTAATAAAAAAAAGTTTGAATGAAATTGAAATAGAAGGGCATATTTTCTCTGTTTCTCAGATCAGAACCTGTTTTAGTACTTCAAATCTTCACAGAAGCAATGCCCTATTATCTTCAATTAAAAGAATGTTTAATATCAAAACATAAGCTAGGCCAAGGTTTTGTTTTTACACGGCTTTGAATGCTTGAAAATGCAGAATTTAGCATAAAAAGGAATGGGACCATGAATTAGTTATTTAAAAACTTTATTTAGAACATAACAATAACATATGGCTATTAAACTATTTTTTAGGACTAAACCTTCCTTTGTTTTATTTTGATCAGTGTCATTACAAAAGGTAGAAATAAAGAGCTGTGCCATGAGCGCATGATATGCCTGTCGCTTTTCAAAGAAAAAAGTTCCATAACTCCTCAATGTCATATCAGAAATTTATAAATAAACTATAGGGAGGTTATTTTAATAGATATAAACCAGTCACCAAAGTTTCATGAAAACTGCTCATAGCACTTTTGAGTTATTGTCTGAAAACTGGAAAATCCCCCTTTTTAATTAATAAAACCCAATAACTCGGAAATGTAAAATCGAAAATTTATAAAAATCAAAAGGGAGCTAGCTCACATCAATAAATATAAACAATTCACCAAAGATTCATGAAAAATGCTCAAAGCATTTTTGAGTTATTGACCGAAAACTGGAAAATCCCCTTTTTAATGAATAAAACCCCATAACTCAGAAACGTAAAATCTAAAATTTACAAAAAATAAAACGGGAGCTCACATCAATAGATGTAAACAATTCCCCAAAGTTTCATGAAAACTGCTCCAAGCATTTTATGAGTTATTGTCTAAAAACTGGAAAATCCCCCTTTTTAATGAATAAAACCCAATAACTAGGGAACCTAAAATCCAAAATTTATAAAAATCTAATCGGAGCTCATGTCAATAGATATAAACAATTCACCAAAGATTCATGAAAACTGCTCAAATCATTTTTGAGTTATTGTCTGAAAACTGGAAAATCCTCCTTTTTAATGAATAAAACCCCATAACTCAGAAACGTAAAATCTAAAATTTACAAAAAATAAAAAGGGAGCTCACATCAATAGATGTAAACAATTCCCCAAAGTTTCATGAAAACTGCTCAAAGCATTTTATGAGTTATTGTCTAAAAACTGGAAAATCCCCCTTTTTTAATAAATAAAACCCAATAACTAGGGAACCTAAAATCCAAAATTTATAAAAATCTAAACGGAGCTCATGTCAATAGATATAAACAATTCACCAAAGTTTCAAGCAAATTGGTTAAAGAGTTTTTGAGTTATTGTCTGACATGTTGATGAGGCCGGACGGACAGATGGACAGACTGAAAACAGTTTACCATAATACGTCCCCTAAACGGGCATAAAAAAATCATCTTTACACGGTAATATTCTGAATTTACAGTGTAGATAATCCATTTAATCAATAGTAGGAAGAACATAGATTTTATTATGCACTTCGTTGTTTTCTGTGCCTTCTTCTGAAGGCAGAGTTTGATGTTGTGTCAATATAATTGGTAGTGGTCACTCATTTCATATTGTTATTTTAAGTTGAGTATATACTATTTATAAATCATTTGATATAATGCATTTCCGACATCCCTTGGTCTTGGTCTCTGGTAGATAGTTGTCTCATATGCAATCATACCCTGCCACGTCCATTCTGTGTTTTTGTTAAGATATATTTCTGCTTTGTATCTATCTGATGAGTTAAGCCCTTTTCAACTGATTTTTATAGTTTGTTCTTATGTTGTACTGTTACACCACTGTCCCAGGTTAGGGGGAGGGTTGGCGCCTTCAAACTAGTTTAACCCTGCCATATTCTGCATGTGCCTGTCCAAAGTCAGGAGCCTGTAATTTAGTGGTTGTCATTTTTTGCTGTATATCATATTTGTTTTTCGTTCATTATTTTGTACATAAATCAGGCCGTTACTTTTCTCGTTTGAATTGTTTTACATTTGTCATTTCGGGGCTTTTTATAACTGACTATCGGGTATGGGTTTTACTCATTGTTGAAGGCTGTACGGTGACCTATAGTTGTTAATTTCTGTGTCATTTGGTCTCTTGTGGAGAGTTGTCTCATTGGCAATCATACCACATCTTCTTATTTTTATATTGATTAGATATTCACCTCATTGCATGTACTGTAGTTACAAAATACAGGGATAGAAGAGGTTAAAATATAGTTAACAACTCACTCAGAATAGAAAACACTAGTGCAATCTTTTCCCCCTTACTCCCCCCCCCCTAAAAAAACAATATTCAATTCAGAAAGGACAGTAAAAGAATTAAGAAAGCCTGTATTACAAAAGCAGTTAATCAAAACAGGCTTAATTATTACATCTGCCGAAAAAGATATCATGCAGCTTAACACTCTAATATCCTCTACTCTACTTCCAATTATATTTATTATAATAGCTATTTCATGAAGTTTGAGTCTCATGTGCAATGCCCACATCAAATATGTGAAAAAAATTTCATTGCATAATATAAAATGAACATTTTTGTTGTTTTTTTTACTATCAGTAGGACACTTAATGTAAGAGTGGTATACAAGGTCTTAAATTAAGGTACCTGGAAAAGTAGTGTATTACCACCACATTGTGGCCTGTACAAGCAAGGTTAAATAGCCAATATATTGATCTTCATAGGTTTGATTTTCTGCATATATATATAATCCTTGCCAAAGAGGGGCATCTGTATTAATATGCTGCCACCTCCAGTCAGAATGGTGACGTTAAATCCAATGGCTCATGTAGAGAGAGTACCACGTACTCTCTCTGCATGATGACAACCCTTGCAATAACTCTTTGAGGAGTCCCTAGGTGACCTGTTACAAGGCATTTTCCAGTGGCAGTCCAAATTTCCAGACCTTGATCCCATGGCCCCTATTACTGTACCTACTTTCTGTATTCATTGTTAATTTGTTCTTGTCCTGAACATGCATGAAATATTTGGCACTGGAAGTTAAACAAACCACAATCAATCAATTAATCAAAACGTTTCTACCTACCCAATTAAACTTTTAAGCATTTAATCCATTTAATATCTTGATAACTTACTTATCATCATGTTGGAAGGGCAGCCATGTTGGACCAGTAAAACTACTGATGTAAAAGGACTGTTTACAATTCAGAAAATCAATGGGTTCATATTTACTCATTGGCTGACAAAACTGTATTTTTGTGTCAATTAATGAACCCCCTGAAAAAAAAAGACAAAAACATTTTATATTATACAACTGAATGATAAAATAACAGTAAATGTCACAGTATTACATTTTGAAAAAAATTTCCATGATGTATAATCAGGAGCTTTAAGCCAAATTAAGGGGTCTTTTTTTTAAGTATGCATACAGTTAGCAGTAAAATGGCACAAACACATCTTCCGTTATTACCCAGCAAACACAAAAACATCTTTAAAATGTTTTTAAAATGTTGTGTCTAATGTCATGAAAATATCACAAAAAAACGTGAGAAAAACATTAAATGTATGGTAGAATATATATCGCTAAAACGTTTTCTAATATATTTTCTAAAATATTTGCATAATATAATTAAAATGTTGTAAAGAAATATCATGATAATGTGAAAAACAATGGCGAATAAAACATTTTGATAATCTTTTAAAAAATATTTTCTAGAAATATTTTCTGAACGTTTGAAAAACATCATGAACATCAAATAATCTTATAAAAATGTTTTTTGGATGTTTTCTTGCAAGTGAGACTGTGCCTAAAAAATGTTTTCAAAATGTTTTAAGAAGATGTTTTTGGTTGATATCTAGATCATATCAATATAAAAATTTCTGTACTTTTTATTGAGTTTCCTGCTTTTTTAAATAACAAATCATTAGTTAAATTAATTTATACACAGTGATTAATTCTATATACAAACAAGAATAAATCAGTTGTTTTGCTAAGCATATGAAATTCACAATTCAAAGTCTCTAAAAACAAGAAGTATCTACAAATTTTGACACATCCAAAATGGCAGACACAACTCATCATGGTCAAGCCACTTACCAAATATGAAGTCATTCTGTTCATCAGCATTACTAATTAAAGTAATGAAGAAGTTTGAGAACATTCAACATTTTGAAATACAATGTTTAAGCAAACAGGAAACAGGTGCCAGATACAAAAATGTTCACACATCACAGTTCATCACTATCAAGCAGCTCATTAAATATGAACTCATCTTTATCAGCAGTTTTGGGAAAAGCAGTGATGAAAATATTTATTGGACAAAATCCGACAAATAAAGGTGGACAGACAACAGACAGTGCAAGAAAGCCCACATTCCAACCACAATGGTATATTGTTTAGTTTTTCACTCTCAACTTTTATTACCTATCTTATACACATCATGCATATGTCAACCTGAACATGCACGACATATATGCCATTGGACATTATGCAAACATTATACACATTTTTAAGTTCAAGTTACATTGACTAAAACTTGTGTCCCAAATTCAGATTTTTCAATACAACTTCTCTTTCTAAACTAAAACGATACACTTCTAATAGGGTTACATCTTAAGTCAATAATCATTGATAATTGGCTGAAGAGATGAGAACAAAACACCATTTTACATCAACTATTTGATTTATTTAAGAATACATTGAAAAAGTCAATCAATTGTCTTATTCAAAATCACTTGGAATGTCTTGTAGTGTCTTATATCTTTTTCTTGCTGTGCCATGCTTCTGAAAAAAAAAATAATCTTACATTCATATATAAACTTCTTGCACATTCCTTTATTATAGAACGATTCACGTTGCCTGAAGGATAAACATCCCCTCCCCTTTAAAGATTTGAAATAATAAGGATGATAGTCTGTCGGAAGGGGACGATAAATGGCTGACCGTGTTTAGAGAGAGCAATATGCCACGCTGAACTTCATTTAGTTTTTAAAAAAAAAACACATAAAAAAATTTGAGATATGTGTCCAGTCAAGAGTCTTATTTCATTATACTCGTTGATTATTGTCTATCATATTTTTTTCTTTTATTGTTTTGTATAAATCAGGCTGTTGTTTTCTTGTTTTTTTTAGTTTTCATTAAATGCATTGTATCATGTAGCTATAGGGGCCTTTAAAAGCCCTGCTACATAATGTCATTAAACATCTTATTGTCCTTTTTAAGTGTTAGAGTGACATAGTTTATAACTTGTCATTTGTATGATCTAAGGGCATATGATACAGTACTAGTAGTATACTATAGGCACATAATAACTTATCGAAGTGTTACGCATTGTTTTCGCAATGATGATAATAATATAACTTAACTTCCGAGAAACACACAGATGTCATTAAATGAGTTGTTTATATGTATTTGAAATACTTCAAAGGAAAGCAAGTATGTTGTTTATGAAAGCACACCGTTGGACTAAAAGATTGATTTAAATAAACAACTTGTTTCTATTTTGTCACAAAAAAAATAATTTATTCAAATATCCAGATATCTTTCTGCATTGTATGCCCTTAATCTTGAATGTTATGCATTGTTTATGCTAAATATTTGAATTAAATATGGAATAACAGTAATTCTGTGTGAAAATCTTACTTCAAAAAAAAATTCTCCTGAAAGGTTGTAAACATTCCAAAGAACCTGCGCCACTTCCAAATTGTAAACCTGCATATTGAACTTGTCCTTTGTGGCTTTTCTTTTAGCTCCTGTTAAAAAATAAAAGATACATTGTATGTACATTGTGTGTATGAAGCAATAAATATAATTTTAAGCAACAGTTTATATTATCTTGCTTGTACTGAAGTCTTACATAGTCTATGTAATGTTCATTAAGCTGTTAAGGGAAATTTAATTTACTGTTTTGCAAATACATACATACACTGATTTTACTAGAAAAAAAAATCTCCATATTCAAATGGTGCTTATATCATGTATATTAGTGTTATTGTAACTTGTTTGTGTGCCTCGGAAACAAGGTATTGAGTCATGCTTCTTGCAATAGTTGTTGTTGGTTTAAGTCTGTCAAATTTCTTTTTCATAATGTGTATTTAATGTAAGTTAGTTGTTTTGTTTCAATTGTGTTGAGAAAAATTTAACATTTGTTTGTCAAGGCTTCAAAGTGGACTATATGGCATTGGTTTTCTCAGTTTTGAAAGCCGTACAGTGACCTATAATTTCTTTTATCCAAGTCATTTAAATTCTGGTGGATAGCTGTCTCATACACCTCATCGCTATTTCAGTATTTGGAAATCTGTCCCGCTTGAACTTTTTACGTCAGCATACGTCATACAATAATACACCTTATCGCTATTCCCGCCTGACCCGAGAATTCATCCTGCTTGAACTTTTGACGTCAAACAACAATCACTTTTCCATTGTGGCATCAGATATTTTTTATGATGACGTCAAAATTTTAAGGGAACTTGTGACAGTTGTGTGATGTCCAGTAATGGCGGACAAATAGCAATAAGGTGTATTACTTTCAATTGTGGTGTCAAATATTTTCTTATATGACGTCAACATTTTACGGGAACTTTTGTGATGTCCATGGCCAGTAATGGCGGACAAATAGGGATAAGGTGTATTGGCAATCAAACACACAATCCACATATCCTTATAATTTTTTTTATATCAATGTCAATGAACATATTCATAATTGGTGTACGTAGATGCTTGAACAGTGGCGGATTTAGGGGCCCCGACCCCCTTATGGAACTACTAATAAGATAAATGTATAGACTATTTACAAGTATCACTCCAAACGTTTGCTTGCCTTGGGCAGGGGCCCCCCTTTTTCAAAACCTTGATCCGCACCTCCAGAAACAGATGTAATTTGGTTCCGATTATGATTGAACACACACAATGAATGCACAAGTTTCATCTTAACAGATTAATCATTCTTACCAAGTGAGTATATACCGCGTAACAAACAATTTTCTTGGCTCTCTTTGTTGATATCCTGTCTTCGTTTTGAAATTCAAATTTCAAAATCATTTCCGGTGATAAAACAAAAGTCGATTCCGGAAAAGGTCGGTTTTTCCGTAAGGCATATATAAACGATACGAAAATTGAACTTAGTACAGTTACAGTTTTCATTTCTTAATTTCTAAAATATACACGAACGAAATGAACAAACATTAAAGAAAGGTGATTGTTTATTAATACATTATTGCTTAATTTAATGTTGACTCTTTTGAATTTTAATATTAGAAGGAATAAAATCTGACTTCAAGGATTTTCAAGATATCACTTTAAGGATTTCAACCATAGTATCTTGCTTGTCATGACATTGATGAAATGTAGTACTATATCTTATCCTGAAAAAAACGAGCTAATTCCACAAAATGTTGTTTGTGGGGTTTTGAATAAAGTTTAAATAAAATGTTATTTTTATATCCGTAAAATGTTTAATAATATATCAGTAAGACTATTAAGTAATGTGTATGTCAGAATATTTTATAGAAAACATTTAGCTGATATTTTTCAGATGTTTTATGTAAAACATTTTAATTTTACTTTATAAAACATTTTATGCAAATAGCAAAACTATATTTTCTGTAAAACATTTTTTTGCAGAATGTTTTTTGGATATTTGGAAAATATTTACTTTAAATGTTGTTAATATATAAAATACCAATTGAAGAAAATATAATTTTTTTATATTATAAAATATCTACGTGATATTTTAGAACAATGTTTGAGAACATGAATAAAAGATATTAGCAAATAATATTTTGTTAATGTTGTAAAAACATTTTACTTAAATGTTAGAAATAAAACATTTCAAAAACAATAAAATAAACATTTTTTTTATGTTTAAATGATATCTTATTGAAATATTTTGTGAGAGACGTCCATATGACATTTAAAAAATGTTTTTAAAATGTTGTGTGTTTGCTGGGTAAGCCTTTATCACTGCACATAACTTGGTATCTATAAGCATTCAAAACAGACATATTCATGATATCTTCCAGCACAATATATTCAAATAAAGATGCCTTCAGTATAAATTTTCTGAAAAATTAAAGGGTTCCAAAAAGGTTTTGGGAATTTAGGAAAGTTTGTAAAAATTGCAACATAAATTAAAATGTTAATTGCAGAAAATACTAATTTACCCTTCTAATTCTACTGGGGGAGGAATGAAGAGAAAATAAGGTTCTGTACCTCTATAAAATTTTAATGTTGTCTTCATCTCTACTAAACCAACTTTAAAATCCCTGACATAATGGTCTGCATCAAGTCCAACATTCGGCTGTAAATATTTAGCTGACATTACAGTCTCAACCAAACCAAACATGATAAAGTTGCTCCATACAATTGGATGTCCATCTGTGATATGATTCGGGTCATTTTCTATCTTTATCTTTTTTTGTATGCTATCAAAAAATTGACCATGATTTTCCAGTATAGGTGGTGCTTCATCAACTGTAAATGGTTAGAAAGATAATTAATAAGGCAAAAGTAAAAACAGCATTTCCTCCTTCTCAATTGTCCCTTTTGAACGAATGCAGAAATGGTGTTCCATCATAAAAGCATTGCTCTGAATATCACTGACAGCAAAAAATGTAGTTTGCAACAAAAATAAAAATACACAATTGATCACAATTGGAATTTACAAAATGAAGCTAAATTTCTTCATTGGTCCATTTAAGTACCAAGTTTTGGTTGGGACTGACTAAAATTTCTGAAAACTAGATCAAATCAATGGTTGGACTTGCCAAAATTTTGAAATATGTAGACTTGGGACTCACCCATGTAGATCGAGTCCTACCCAAAACCCTGGATTATATAATTCATAATTATTCAATCAGGCTGGAATGTTTTGGAAAGGTGTAAAATTTCAATGCAAAATAATTGATCTTAAATCTTCATATTTATGAACAACTGAACAGTATAGAACAAAAATAACATAGTTATGGTAGTGTTAAGTTACTTTTCCCCCTTTTTTATAAACTATGTCATCCTAGTTAAAATAGGTAACCCTCATTTAGCCTCTCTTGTAGAAACTACCGTTAATTCAGAAATTATTGCAAGGTTTTTATTAATGCTAATTACAAACATGTATGAGACTGGATGAGTATTGCAATAATAAGAAGTTGCATTATAATATCTGATACATATATTTGTATGCAGCTTGTCCTGAAATTGCAATGATTAATCTAAAATTTTGGTAGGTGACAAGTCATATTCCCAATAATAAATGGTTGCAATTATTTCTGAATTTACAGTTTACAATTTCAACTAATTAGTTTCCTTTATTTATTAGCAAGTAATCAAGAACCTACGGAAGCCCATAGAGGACCTACAAAAAAATAATATTATATCGTTATCTCAATATATATATATTGTTATTTCGATATAATTAAATTGTTATCTAGATATATTTATATTGTTATCTCAATATTTATATCGTTATATCGATATATTTATTTCGTTATCTCGATATAATTATGTTGTTATCTCAATATCATTATATAGTTAAGGTGGGGTTATGGCACCTTTTTGCAAATAACTCAAAAACTTATACAGATATCAAAATCTAGCAGAGAGTAAAATTGATCAGTACATTATGATCTGCCGAAATTTAAGTTCAGGTTGATCGGAAAATTCGTTTCAGAGCTATGGCCCTTTGTTTGCAATTTTCCTCAATTTTTTATAATTTTGACAATATTTTGAAAAGCTAGAGCCTTTTTTTTTATTATTATTATTCCAAAATATTTCCTGTTTACAATTATCTTAGTCGTCCAGGTAACAGATAAAGGTTCCCGGTTTACAGAAATGCCATCTATACAGGGGCAATTGAAAGCTAACAAAGTCCATTTTAACCTTTATTTAACATTAAGTTTTAAAAGTTTTAAATGTCTTAGGCCCGCTTGAACTAGTATATATATCTTCAATATACACGAGGTCATAATAAATGAGATGTAGTAAGAGAATTAATAAGACAACTCTTTCCTGGGACAAATTGGCTTTATTGTAATAAAAAAAATGTACACAGGAAAATATCAATATAATGGTTTTGTCGTTAGGATTTACTGTAACTGTAAATTGATCCTCCAGTGGGTTAGCAAACGCTCCCCGACAGTTGTCCGACCTCGTGTATATTACAGATATATATACTATTTCAAGCGTGTCTGGGACCTATATTGAAAATCGACAGTTCTACGCATTTTCGTGTCAGCTACAGATTGATACAAAACTTTAACGACATTACATTTTTGCACCGGCAGTTCGATCGGCTTCCCTGGTCTGTCGCTTTCTTCTTTTCATCCTGATTATGCATGAAATATTTGCGACTGGACGTTAAGCAAACATCAATCAATGTAAACAGAAATTGACATATCAAGCAAGCGGATCAAACTGTAAGCGCAAAAAAAATAAACCTGTCTTTCAAGGTTTGGCATCCATCTGAAGCGCGTGAAATGAAGAATGTTCGATTAATCTCCCAGTGGTGTTAGCAGGCGCTGACCGAGAGTTATCCGACCTCGGAAAATAGGTTCAAATTATGAGATATTTCATTGCATAACTTTTTTATTATTACATGTAAAATGTCGGTTTATGGCTCGTTTTAAAGAAAATGGAATATACCTTTGAAAATTTTAAGATGTTGATCCAGACAATTTAATTGAGGTCTGGAGCTGGCATGTCAGTAACTGCTAGTATTCCTTTGTTAGTTTATGTATCATTGTCATTTTGTTTAGTTGCTTTTGTTACCTATTCTGACATCGGACTCAGATTTCTTTTAAACTGTGTTTTACTGTACGTATTGCTTTGTGTTTGTTTTTTTCTACATTGACTAAAGGTATAGGGGGGGGGGGGTTGAGAACTCACAAAACATCGTTAAACCCCGTCGCATTTTTGCGCCTGTCCCAATTCAGGAGCCACTGGCCTTTGCTAGTCTTGTATGATTTTTAATTTAAGTTTCTTTTATATATTTCGGAGTTTAGTATGATGTCCATTATCACTGAACTAGTATACATTTTTGTTTAGGGGCCAGCTGAAGCACTCCTCCGGGTGCTGGATTTTCTCGCTGTATTGAAGACACATTGGTGGCCTTCAGTTGTTTTCTGCTCTTTGGACGGGTTGCTGTCTCTTTGACACATTCCCCATTTCCATTCTCAATTTAATTATACATAAATAAAATATAACGAGAAAACGAAGACCATTCTTGATTTGTCGAGTTACTGACGTTGTGTATATTATAAAATTAAAAAAAATATTCAAGCAAACCTGGGGCCTTTAGTTTTCAATAAATAAGCAAAAATATATATGCGAAATTCTGCAAATTTGGGTATTTTAAGAGAAGCAAAATCTGAAAGTTTTGCCCACAAGACTTTATTGTAGCTCTTAATGATCTGAACAATTTCCAATTTAAACTAAGGCTCTAGCTTTTAATCTAAAATTTGAATTGAATGAATTTGATTTAATCGATAAAAACAAATTAGTAACTGTAATTTGAAAATTTAGGCGAAATGTATTTCTTACTCTAAAAGAAGCATATAAATATATGCAGTGTTGTATATTTATATATATTTTAAACTATACGATGAGGAAAAGTAACATCTGACCACCGAAAGCTTTATTATTGTAGAGCCTAGGTGGTCGAGTGGTAATGCGCGTTGGGCATAGTGCAAGGCGATTTGGTACCACGATATCTCAGGAGCATGAGTTCGAATCCCATCGAGGGAAGAACAAAAAATTTGCGAGAGCAAATTTACTGACCTAACCTTGTTGAGCTGATGTTTAGACGTATTTTAAAATATATATACATATACAACACTGCATATATTTATATAATTCTTTTAGAGTAAGAAATACATTTCGCCTAAATTTTCAAAATTACTGTTTCTATATTTCCATATCTACTACCAATGAAATCCTTTATGTAATTATCATGCAATTATATTTTTTTGATATTGTATGCGCTTATCATAATGCATAGGGAACTATGTATTTCTTTTAAACTCAATGTTAAATAAAGGTTAAAGTGGACTTTGATAGCTTTCTATTGCTCCTGGATAGATGACATTTCTGTAAACAGGGAACCTTAGTCTGTTACCTAGAGGAGTAAGATGATGAAAAACTAAAAAGGCTCTAGCTTTTACGACTTTCAAGATATTGTCAAAACTGAGATGAAGATTTGAAAAAAATGCAAATAAAGGCCCATAGCTCTTTAATAAGTTTTCCGATTCAACCTTAACTTAAATTTTGGCAGATACAGATCATTATGTACTAATCAATTTTACCCTCTGCTAGAATTTTGATATATGTATAAGTTTTTGAGTTATTTGCAAAAAAGGTGCAATAACCCCACCCCACCTTAACTATATAAATATCGAGATAAAGATTTAATTATATCGAGATAACGATATAATTAAATAGAGATAATGAAATAAAATATATGGAGATAACGATATAATTATATCGATATAACGATATAAATATCGAGATAACGATATAATTATATCGAGATAACGAAATAAATATATGGAGATAATGATATAATTATATCGAGATAACAAAATAAATATATCGATATAATGATATAAATATCGAGATAACGATATAAATATATCGAGATAACGATTTAATTATATCAAAATAACGATATATATATTGAGATAACAATATAATATTATTTTTTTGTAGGTCCCCTATGGGCTTCCGTAAGAACCACATGCAACTACACTGTACCATCATATTATGCTTCACAATGTCCATAAAAAAGTTTACGGCAGAACACATAAATTTACAGTCTGTTACTAGCCCTCATCAAACTGTCGGAGCAGAAATAACTATTTAAACTCCGAATATAAAAATATCAATTATAAATGATCTATCTGTACTTACTATTTTCACAATGTGTACCAGAAAAATTGTCTGCACACTGGCAATTAGCAGCTAATCCATCTGCACATGTCCCTGGGTAGCACCTGGTACTATCCGTTCTCCAGGAACAGGCCTCTGTAAATAAAAATTTAATCATAGAATATGCAGTACCTCAAACACATCTTCTGTTTGTGGTTTACCCGTGCAGACCACTGAAATTCCCATTAATAGGTTAGATTTGAACCAGTAAAAATAAAATAATGTCATTTAAACTACTAAAAGTATATGTACATCCATGTATCCATGTTGTATAAATTTAAAATCTATTTCATCTCTTACTTTGACAAGATTTTCTGCTATCTACGTCTCCAGTATAAGCTTTCCAGTACGGCCTTTCAGCTATCTCTCCATCACACCAGCCACAGATCTGATTCTGGTTGTTATCAGTACACTTTCTATACAAACAGTTATCAATCTTTCCACACACTGAAAGGAAAAAGCATATATTACCACAGCCACAAATTCAACACAGACCCTCCCATCAACTTAAATTCACCATTACATATTATTAATGTAGATAGATATGATGCAAAGAAAACAATACATAGAGGATATCAATTTTCACTGGAAATCTGACTACAATTCACTGCAGTATTAATATAACTTTGTATACAGATCTTGTGAAATGTAATATAATATTAACTAATTCTATAAATAATTTTGACCCAACATGCTTGATTGCAGGCAAAAAATGAATATATGGTTTCTTTTGTTTTGTTTTAACTACAAACATAAAAAAAATCCCATTGCATTTTTTGATCAATATAAAGAAATTCAAGATCTTTTTAAAAGACAGATATTAAACATTGGATTCACAACTTCCATTACAAATTACAATTAACAATGCATACTTTCATGACTAAATAGCTCTAAAAAAAATTGCAATCATTCTTATATAAAATGTAACATTACTAAAATCCAACAATTGTATCCATGGTTACTGACAAGTACTTACTGTAACAGTATTTATCTCCTCCATAGAAGCCATCGTTACAGCTACTACAAACGTCCACAGCAGTACATGTACCGGTACCCTGTCGTATATTTCCTGCTCGTGTGATCTGCACATCATCAGTATAATATTTTTCACATGCCGATGGATTTCCTTTTCGATCACAGTGAGCTAAAAATAATATACATACATACATTACCAATTTCTAATTGGCATATATACATTATTTCTATCTTCATTGCTGTTTCACTGCTCAATCCAAACAGGTGGATATTGTAATGGATGTGAATACTTGTGACTCCAATTGTTATCATAGTTTCACTGCTTTCTTAATATATTTATTCAGTTACTCAAATTTAGCTGATATATTACTTTGCTATAGATCTACTAACCTAGTGCTTATTTTCAAACTTTCCTTTAGTTTTATGTGTGCATGCTGCTTTGTTTTATCTGTTTTGTATACATTTTCATGTTCAGTAAAAATGTCAGCAAAGCTAATGCTTATATGTTTTATACTACCTATGCTGAATCAAAATATAGTTTTACTTTTCTATTCTATTTTATAACAACTCGTTTATTCAATATTTCTTCAATGCCATATATTATCAAATCATTATCTTAGAAAGTCATAAGTTTTTCCTTAAAACTTGATCAGGAGTTGCTGCAGTGGAGAGAGCGCACAATTGGAGTGTGTATAAGCTGGCAATGAAGCTGCCACCCTTCTTATACAATCTAAATTCCGCCTAAATAAGGCTTCAGCTGGCCAGAATCGATCAATTCCACTTAATTTAATTTTCGGATTTTACTTCTGAATTAGCCTTGTTTTTTATTTAAAAGTCAACATTTGACCATGTTTTCCTAAACTTTTGTACATATTGATTATTATAGAAATTTGTGTCTCTGTTCAGCAAAAATCAAATATCAGGTATCTGATGATCAAATGAATCAAATAGGGGTTTAGTTTGACACTGATCCATTCCTGTTACAATATTAATGGTTTTCTTTTACTTTAGGGGTCCCAACCTAGTTTAAATAATTATGACGAGTTAAAAGTCTATTTAAATTGTTTGCTGTGACGCCTTCTTACATTGGTACCCATATAGAGCTATACTAACCTATCCTAAACCCTAAACCTTACCCTAACCCATACCTAAACCTAACACTTAGTTCCAACCCCAAAAACCTATCCCTACCCTAGAACATCCCCTAACCGAACTATAACCATAAATGAACCCTTACTCTAAAGTATAGGGACCCCTAAAGTGAAAGAGGGTCATATTAACAACTTTCAGTGTTGTGCACAGAAAATGAAGAGGCAAAAATGGTCAAAATATGTCGTGGAAGTGTTTAATCAATTTGCATGTTAATTGACTTTATGCCTACAGTACAACATAATATTCAAAGGTTACATGTATACTGGCATATATTTCACACCATATGCCATGAAAATCTGCTGTTCACAACTGCAAATTCCATTGTTTTAATGGCAATCGGGAACACAGATCTTTGTATCTGCCGAAGCGATAGCCAGTAATAGGTTGCAATATTTCCAATCACAAACATATGTAAGCGTACTTTTATTCCGGGGTATAGATTTCACAATAGTAAATTTACATTAGTGTTGTCTTTCCGTAAATAGTGTGAAACAGAACAAACAAACAGGTAAATTTTGTTAATTTTAATTATCGATTACCCAGATTATAGAGTTCTCAATTATAGATTGCTTTTTCCATGTAATAGGTACATATCTAATTTGATGGTGTCTGTCATTGTCTTATTTCCTTGAAGAATAACTTTAGCCAGATGCAGATGACATTAATTATCCTTTTTCATTTTTGCTTAATAAAAGTACAATTTAACTTCAGGAATTTGATTTGTGTGTCTTGTATGCAATATATATATTCGTATATATTAGGCTTGTTTATATAATATGAGTCATTAAGTGCATATGGACTAAACTTATTCAGATACGCTCACCAATATAAGCATATTGTTGAAAATGCACGCAGAACAGATTTATTTATATTTTTAATAGTAAAGCATTTGTTTATCATATTACATGGATAGAAACCTATGTACTAGATTATTAACTTTATATATGGTCAGAATCTTATTGTATTTAATTTGTAGGGTATTTATTTAGTTATTGTTTATCATCCTGATTTTATCCAGAAATTAAAGAACCTTAGTGAGCATGCTCACATACCCCACGCCCCCAAATTGTCAATAGGTAAACAAAATCTCACCAGATTCTTAAGTTCAAAGACTCATAACTCCTACAAAAGTCATCTGATAAAAATTTCTTGTGGATATGCACATCTTCATATTATGACATTATCTACAAAGTTACATAAAATTCTGTTGTGTGGTTTCAGAGGCGTTGCGATGACAAGATTAGGACTGACGGATGGACGGACTGACGGACAGATGGACGGGTCAAAAACATTTGTTCTGTGGGGTATAATAAAAACGAATCCACCTCAGAAGTAGTTGTTTTATTTGCATAGAAAGTGCTATTACATAATTATTTTCTATATATATGTGATAAATTTTAAACCATAAAGTTATTTATTTGTATTTAGAAAATTTAAAACTACAAAGGTACCCAGCACAAGGCACAGGCATACCTTAAGCAGTCCACGATCAAGTTTGAATAATTACGTCTGCCAGAGTCCAGATGGGTCAACTTGCATAAAGACACACAAACCTAATTCATGAAGTTAAATTGTACTTTTATTACACAACTGCAGAATCGAAATATAACGAAGTTTTTGACTGGGTGACATTTCTCAAATATACGAGTCAGGTACCTTGTGATATATTCAAGTATATAGTTGTTTGGGGTTTTTTTCAGAGACAAGTGCCTGTGTTTTATTGACTAGAAATGACATATGGCAGATTCCATATAAGAAATTGAAATGTCTGTCAAAATGAATAAATAAATAAAAATAATAATTACTGATATTTTAAAGATAATCTGTGAATTTTTTGAGGAATAATGATGTTAGAAGAAATTATAAAAAAAAATTTTGGATATGATTGTTTCCGTTTAAAGTAGAAATGATTAAAACAAGTTGAAAAAATGCAAAAATTTTGACAGAATTAACTCCCATTTTTTTACACAATGTTTATGTGTTGCAATGCTTTATGTTGACACTTGTATACTGGTATTTACTAGTGTAGTCTGGTTATTCAAACATCCCTGTTCCCAAATTTGTTACTTTTTTTAGTCAAAAACATCTGTGATATATATTTTTTTTCACTTTCAAATATCTTGCTTTATAGCTCAGTGTCTGTCAATAAATCTTATGTCAGGAACATCGCTGTAAAAACTTTCAAAATCATTGTAGGTTCCAATATATGCCAGTTAAAACTGTAAGTCATGCTGTGCATAAGAAAAAACACATGTTGATTCTTTCATTTAACTTTATTCAAGCAATAGTTTTAACTTATATGTTTCCTACATAAGATCTGTCAAAATTGTTTTCTTATGTCTGAAACATTTGAATGTGCTAACAGTTAAAGTTCTTTGACCTGTAGTGAAATCTTGTTAGATGTTAGCCTGCAGTATTTTCCAGGAGTTTTAAAAATGACTTTCAACTAGGATTTGATTTCCAATGTCAGTCAAAAAAAACAAATATATATTGTCTGTCAAAATATCTTATGTATGAAAAATCTTATGTCAGAATCAAGTCTTAAATTTTTTGTCAGAAACTCAATTTGTCTGTCAAATCTTATGTCAGAAATAATAAAGTCTGTCAAATCTTATGTCAGAAAAAATAAAGTCTGTCAAATCTTATGTCAGAAATGATAAAGTCTGTCAAATCTCATGTCAGAAAAAATAAAGTCTGTCAAATCTTATGTCAGAAAAAATAAAGTCTGTCAAATCTTATGTCAGAAACAATAAAGTCTGTCAAATCTTATGTCAGAAACAATAAAGTCTGTCAAATCTTATGTCAGAAACATAATATTTAAGGCTTCGTTTATTTAAAAAGGATGATGCTCATAATTTTTTTTTTGGTCAAATTGTCTTTATCTTTATTAGTAAAGCATGTATTTATGACCGGACTGGATCGCATGTCAATAAGTGGGGGAACTAGCTGACATTCTGCGACCCAGTTCTGATCATATTATTTTGTAAGGGAACTAACTCTGAATAGTGATGGTAGAGCATAGGTAACGCATTGTCTGGTTTACTTTAATTTACCGCACAAGAAGTCAATAAAACACTAAGTTTGATGATTGTATATTAATTATTCTCGAATAGATAGGCATTCATATTTACAACACAAGTCATACATGTATACGAATATGCGACTAAGTCACCATGATGTGAACAAAGCCTGAAAATCTCTCATCCTCTAAATTACACAAAGTTAATATATATCCATGTCCCTTTCTAAACCCATTCTCCTAAATCTCAATAATCATTTAATGTATATCCTAGTTACTTGACCAATCAAAATACATAACTCCCAAAAAGGGGAGGGTAATTATTTTAATTCTGACTTTTGAACATATGGTCCCTTAGATACCTTTTTATCAATTACGTAACAATGTAACTGAGTTTTGACATGTTGATATTCTAACACTTTAATTCATCCTAAAAGTAATAAAGAAAATATAGATTTATATAATATTTTAAACAAAACTATTCAAAAATATTGCTAAGGAAAAATACCTCATTTTTCCTTGGTGATATATTCAAAAACAGAAGTTCATTGCTTATGATTTTTGCCTAACGTGCTTATGGGAGTTGTTTCACTTTCTTATATGGAATCTGCCATATATCTAAAAATTATATACTTTATAATTTGTAAAAGCAGTATTACTCCATATACCATGTATACAGTAAAGTTTTCGGTGATATATCTATTGGTTCTCGGGTTCATAATATCAATTAGTTTTTTGGAGTTCTCAGAAAATTGTTGTACCATATTTCATGTATGATTTTTTTTACAGGAAAATTTACACTAATATATAACATAATATCCTCATGAAAATTTATTTTTGCATGCTGATTTTGATATTTTTAAAAAAAGACCATGCCCCATTTTTTTTTAGACCCTGGCTACGATTATGCTGAAATATAACTATGACAAAAAAGTTATTGTTATGTTGGACACTAATTGCAGGAATGCTATGTTAGGTACAATGTAGGAACCTATTAATTATGAACGTAACAATAATATTTGTATCTACAGTTATGCTGTGTTAGTGTTACATTAAAGCCTTTCAAAGTATGCTGGGAAATGTAATATAGTATGTTCCATATGTATGTAATATATTAAAATACAATGGGTCATAATATCAATACGAATTTTAAATGATTAACAGTGGCGGATCCAGAACTTTTTATATAAGGGGGCCCACTGAATGCCAAAAGAGGGGGCCCGCTACAGTCATGCTTCAGTAATTCCCTATATAATCAACCAGATTTTTCCCACAAAAGGGGGGGCCCTGGCCCCCAGGGCCCCCCTGGATCCACCTATGATTAAATTCATGTGGTAAAATTAAAGTTTAAAGTGACATGCAGATACTTCAAGTTCCTGTGCGTTTTTACCCCTATCTCTTTTCTAGTTTTTTTATGAATATAACAGTATAATAATGACTGCACAATTGAACTTTTCAAACAGGCATTGAAAGCTGGTATAACTTCAATTCAAAGAGGAAAATTGCAGAGTGGAACTGTGTAGTCTGCAAAACCAACGCGCACATTGCTACATCACTCATGTGTGATGGCTGCCTAGAGTGGTTCACCAAAAATGTGTCAGAAGAGAACATGCACCCAAAAGCACAAACTGGATATGCAGGAGCTGCCATGGTAAATATTAAAGTATATAATCTGTTTGCAATATTGTATCATTGAATTGCTTACGAATAAAAGTTTTGAAGTTGTATTTTAAATATATTTAATACATACATATGGGACATACTGTATACTAGCTGTGGAACCGTAGCCCATAGGTCCTTATGATATTTTTGACAATTTGCAGAGACATCTATGGTCCGCAAATTGTCAAAAAATATCATAAGAACATATATGAGCAACAGTTGCGGCTTGCGCAGCTAACTATATATCCGATATTACTTTTCCCAGCATACATTGAAATGTGTAGACACAAATATTATAATTTGATACTTCGTAATTAATCGGTTCCTAACCCAACCTAGCATTCAGGCAATAAGTTTCCAACGTAACCCTTTTTTTTTTTGTTACGTTTTCAACGTAATCTTAGCCAGTGCCTTTTTTTCATAGTCCCCCCTAAAAAGACTTTAAGAGTGTTTTGGATACACAACTAAACAAAGGAAATTCTACACTAGTGTAACTTGTCCTTTGTTAAACTGTTACACACATATGTGAAATGAAACTAGCGTAGTGTGTCGTTTTCTACAGAAAAAATCGTCTGCATTTCATGGATTCATTTCCTGCAAAAAGTGACTTCCGGTGAAAATTAAGACCGAAGAAGGATTCAAAACACAAACGAACTTGAAAGTACTAAACTTCAAGGAGTCATAATAAAATAAACTGAGATGCGGACTAAACGTTGTGAAAGGTCCCGTTTATCAATTCCCGGCATCTCCACTCCTAATAATACCGACCGTACGAGATCCTCATGGGTATTTAAGGTCGCTAAACACACCCCTAGACTAAACGTCCATATGGGACAGCAAACGGCTGTTCAACCAACCTGAGACTACTATAACATAAGACTACTATAACATAACTGTGTTATAGTAGTCTCAGATGCAACTTAGTTTTATTTTAAGCTTAAATATTTTGTAATTGTAGATTTGTATGCAGCTTGGTGACATGCTTATCTGCTGACTTTGTTTTCTTTGGCCAAAAACGGGACTTAAATAAATGTCCCTATTCCAAATTGCTATGATATGAAATTTCATCATTAATCATTTCTTTAAATGAACTTATCTCCAGAACTGTGTTATCTGCATGTTTGAAAAGCAAATTACGCCAAACGACTTCACAGTATACATTGTACATAACGACTGTTTTAAGTCTGATGATACAACAATCTATACTAAACTAAAATTACATAACATGTAGCTATTCACGGGTTCGCCAAACTTTTGATGATGTACTATTTCACAGCTCATTCATCGAAATCAATTATTCATTACAAAAAAACAAACAAGTATGAGGGTAGGAATGCCCTTTACCGCCAGGCGTATAATGGTAATTTTCGGCTATGGTTAGCGTCAACTTGATTTACTTTTTATCGTGATTATCAGTCAAATTATCATTATCGTGAACTTACCTATTAATGAAAGAATATGCTTTAATTGTAATGACAATACCATTGAAGATGAGAAACATGTAATTTTGAAATTCCACTATATGCAGATTTTCGTGCTGTATTGTTTAGTCATGCTAATTCTTTTTGTCATGATTTTAATAGTATGTCAGATGACGATAAATTTGTATTTTATTTAGTGATGAAAATGTTTACTTTTATACTGCCAAAATCTGCTATGATATTTTACTGAAAAGAAAATGTTTATTATATTCTTAAAATGTATACTTTTTATTATGTTTTATGTTTTATATTTTATGTGTGTATATATATATATGTAAATGTATATACCTTTTTTATAGTCTCTCGTAACTCTTTTTAGAGTGGCTCTTGTTTTATATGTGAAGTTGTAATATTATGCAAATGTTTTAAAAGAGGTGAGACTCAAATAAAATATTGTCTTGTCTTGTCTTGTCTTGTTTCAAAATAAAATGAGATCAAAGGGGCCAAGCTGTTAAAATCAATTATCTTTCGTGTTTTTCTTTTAAAATCTTCAATCTTTTACTCATACCAAGCTAAATACATGCAGTATTTACATCAAAGCAAGTTAAAACAACAATCATGATTTTCAAACACACAACAATAATACCAAATTTAGCTGTGTATATATACCAATTAGCAGTAATCATACATTTGTACATAATTAACATTTGATAATTAATCATCAAATTGATGGAAAAAAAAACAAAAAACATTCATATAATAATTCCCCAATTTTTATTCAGGAAAATATATACCAAGATAAACAACAGTATACAAAACATAACATAGAAGCTAAAGACTGAGCACGATATTTGATTCGTTTGTTTTGATATGATAGAATTCAAGTACCCTTTATAAAACCTCTAGTGCCTGTAAAAGGACTTTCTCCTATGTAAGGCTAAAACATCATCGTCAAAATCAATGCAAAAGTAAATGAAATATTGTAATAGACAATTAAGGTATGATTAATAGCAAAAGTGTAGGACTATCTGTATCTATTCCACACTCTCGGAATCCGACTTTTTGAGTGTAGGGCTATCTGTATGCATTCCACCCTCTCGGAATCCGACTTAAGGAGTGTAGGACTATCTGTATGCATTCCACCATCTCGGAATCCGACTTAAGGAGTGTAGGACTATCTGTATGCATTCCACCCTCTCGGAATCCGACTTAAGGAGCATACCTTATGGATATATGAAACTCTTCAACCAACGATAAGATCAACGTAAAGGGATGCTTGTTTGGCTGAAGATAATGACATCAGGGTAGTTACAGTGTACCTGTCTGGAAATTGTTAAGTAAAAGAAAAGGAGCATCGTGCTTTTCGAAGATTAGGTGGCTGGCCTGATGTATCTCATTATTTTAATTAATAAGCCCTTCTTCTCCAGTGACAGTCAAAAGTATCTATTCTTTCTCCTTGGCAATCTACTCTGTTTAGATTGTACCAAATGGTGTATTGTCAACATGTTCTTGTCCTGATGAACTTATATGTAACTCAGTGGTTGTCGTTTGTTGCTGTTTATCATATTTGTGTTTCATTCATTATTTTGAAAATAAATCAGGCCGTTAGCTTTCTCGTTTGAATTGTTTTACATTTGTCATTTCGGGCCTTTTTTAGTCGACTATGCGGTATGGTTTATGCTCATTGTTGCAGACCGTACGGTGACCTATATCTGTTAACTTCTATGGCATTTGGTCTCTGGTGGAGAGTTGTCTCATTGGCAATTATACCACATCTTCTTATTTTTATATTTACAGTTACAAACTGTTGCTCTATAACACTTACATGGCGTTGTCAGTTTGTTTTCGACTTGTGAGTTTGAATGTCCATTTGGTATCCTTCGCCTCTCTTTTACTGTTGATTCATAAACTATTTCAAGTATCTACCTAGATTAAATTTCTTTCTAGACAGTATTACCGAAAATTATGATTCATGTTGTAGAATTTTAATTTGACATCATCATTATAGTTTGTTTAATAGGATAATGATATTCAAAATTGCTTGCAGTCTCTTATAGTTGGTGCTATATTATACAATTTGATACTTACGATAGCATGCGACAGTCAGACTATCGCTGTGAGAGAAGTCGTGATTTACCGCATGGCACCCAGCAGGACAATTTAAAGGACCACAATTCCAGTTCAACATATACCGTCTCTGTAAACACAATAAAAGGTCCATCTGGATACTTCTATAAATTAGGTGGACTATTAAGTCCATTTTCTGGGCATATAACTGTTGGCGGAGTATTAGTCTACTTATATTTGTGTAATCTACTTATATAACTGTTAGTAAACTCTTTGTCTACTGATATATAACTGCTGTTGTACTGTTTAAGAAACTATACTCTTGTTAGTAATCAGTAGTTCGGCTTTGATCATGATTCATTACACATTTTGTAAACTTTCAAAGTTAGATATTGATAATTCAAATGTTTTGTCTATTTAAAAAATCGTGGAAATAAGATGATGTATATAACTCATACAGGAAAAGTTTACCTAGTTATAGATGGTTTGGCTATTTGTTTTATGTCCCATTTGCCTATATACCTCTGATTCTTACACCAAGAATTGTTTTCAAATCATTTTAATCTGAGTGTAACGGATGAAAATAAACAAATCCAGGTCTGCACAACGAAAGCCCCAAAACATGGTAGGGTTTACTTTGATTTGCACATTCAGGAATCATTCTTACAGGTTAGTAACTACCAGGAGGGCGAGATTATTTGACTGGGCTGGAATATGGTATCTGCGGGGAGAGCATGATATTTAGACAAGACAGGATGTCAGTTACTACTAGGAAAGACAGATAATTGGACAAGATGGAATATCAGTAAATACCGTATACTTAGTGAAACAAACAATTGGACATGCAAGGTCGGGTGTCAGTCAGACCATTTGGTTTTCTAGGGGAAAGGGGAGGGAAGGGGGATTTTGAAAATGAATAACTTTGCGCAAGACAAGATGAATAATAACCTGCAACACAAAATGTAGGAAATGTGGTCAAAAGTGAAAATATTTTTTTAATAGGCAACAGATTTTGATCCATAATTGATCAATCGTCCTGCCCCTTTCAAAACTCTCCAAAAGCACCACAAAACAATATATGAATGGATAAGTACAAACGCGTATGTATGGATGGATGAGTGGATGAATGCGTACAGGAATGCATGAATGCATATATTGGTTGACGGATGCATAGGTGAATAGATGAATGAGTATTGATTTAAAATAGCATTAAAAAAAAAACATCAAACCTTCCTTTATACTTACGGTTGCGTCTGTGTTTGGTTCATAGTGCTCTAATAATTCTTCCCAAGAACATCCTTCACGACATTCTTCAGACAGTCCTCTCTTGACCCTGTGATGTAGGAAATCTAATGCTTCTTTTTTCTCCATTATTATTCCAGAATGGTGTGCTCTTTTAAACCTCTGCTTCAGAGTTTCGTTATCATCTAAAAAAATTGTAGTTGTAGGTCATTCAAATGAGAAAGTTTCAAGTTCACTTTTTGTTGTACTAGAAAATGAAATTGCCGTGAGGATATGATATTCATCAATTTGATTTACACTATATGCATGGGATATCTGAAGGACAGACCGGAAGGCAGTTTTCACAAATCGAACGTACAAACGTACAGACATAAGGACTAAAATTACACTTTGCCCCTCTAACTTTCATGTTGGCTATATATTTTGTATGCATATCATATTTAATCAGGTAACTCGGCTTAACTAAATAATTGTTTTATGACATAATATGTCATTGACTTTAATTTACTTACATGTATATATTTGTTTAGAGAGAGATATTTTGACAGTTTAAACGCGGCTCAGTCCCCCCCAAATATTATCAGATTATTACATGGCATTTTTCATATCAAATGTATTATCAGCCCAAGAGCCGAAGGCTCGAGGGCTGATATTGACCGAGGGCTGATAATACATCTGATATGAAAAATGACATGTTATGATCTTTTTATCATATGCTTCAACAATGAAGAAAAATAACATTTTAATTGTTGATCCTTTTATGTGGTTCTCAAGTAGAAGTTCAAAAAGTGAAAGGTTTACGGACGACGGACACCAATATATCCTATATGAAATCTTTCTATCATATGCCCCAACAGAGGAGAAAACAACAGCTTAATAATATATATTTATATTGACGATAAAAAAAAAATCAACAAAACATAATGAACACTGTTTGGAAAAGTCAACATTTGTAAAGTAACTTGCTAAATTATGCTGGAAACTTTGAAAAATGCATTTATTGAATGATTTGTTTTGCATTTTACATAATATATTTGCCTGTTTCCTAATATTTGTTTTACACCCTACTTTATTATGTTTTTCACTGAAAACGAACCATTGAGGTGTATTTTCCGGAATTTGCCGATTAACGTCGGAATGCCATGCGATAACGTTACGGAAAGGCATGCGATAATAGCCGGAAGCAGTTGATCAATTTTTCATATCTGCCCGCTAAGCATCATTTCGGAAAATATGGAATTCACGTTAATTTAATGCTATTATCATACTGTAAAAATTATAAGTTATTTACTCTAAGTATATGATACTAGTAATCAATATTATTGAATGAACATGTTATTTAACATGCATTTAAAGTGATACATTTTGTTTGATAACATATACCGTATCAAACTTAATATACAGTGTAATTGCATTCGTATGTCACTGAAAAAACTTGGTAATAATAAAAACTAATACTAAAAGTAACTTGTTATATGCCATAACTTGGTACTGTTCAAACATTTCTTTAATATTCTAGATCTCCTAGTTGCATCTATTTATATATTGAATATGTCAGATGATGCAGTCTTATTTTGGGCGCTATTGATTGTCTTGTTTTTGAGCGGCATTGGTTGTCTTGTATTTGGGCGGCATTAGTTGTCTTATTTTTGGGCGGCATTGATTGTCTTGTTTTTGAGCGGCATTGGTTGTCTTGTTTTTGAGCGGTATAAGTTATCGTAATTGTTTTGGGGCAGTATTGGTTTTGCTTTTCATGGAAGGGCCTCGGTGGCCAAGTGGCCTAATTAGTTCATTTACAGTAGTTTGAACCTCTCTCCGACATAATAATTGACAGTTTTCCTGCCGAAGGTCGGTGGTTGTCTCCAGGTATTCCGGATTCCGCCAACAATACAATACGTCAATAGCAAAGATTGCTTAATGTGAAGTGTAATAATAAAACAAAAAAACAATCCAACGTGTTTAGGCTGTTTAGTTTTAAAAACGTCTCGTTTTCAGGCTGTCTTGTTTTGGGATTGGCTACCCCTGCTATTGTTCTAAGAATTTTCTTGTTTTGAAGCTATGCCTATTTGAAACTTGTTTAGTCTTTTATTGGTAGTAATAATCTGGACTACCAGCTGTAAGTTTTTTCCTGACTTCTTGAAGCTATGCCTATTTGAAACTTGTTTAGTCTTTTATTGGTAGTAATAATCTGGACTACCAACTGTAAGTTTTTTCCTGACTTAAGACTTGAGAATGATTAAATACCCATGATTCCGGTACTTCAAAATATTCTAAATGTCCCTCTAATTTCGGACTTTTGAAGAAGTCGTATTCAAGGACAAGTCATTTGAAAGAGTAGAGTTTTGACCTTAGGTTTTCGTACTCATCGACAAAATTGTATCCTGACTGATACATGTACTAATAAATGGGAGACAAATATTTAGGACTTTGGAATACATGTTTTAAAAGAAATAAATATGTAGTATTGAAATCAGTATCATACATTTATATTTGGAACTACACTGTACAATAAAAGTTAAAAGTCCCCCCCCCCCCCCCTTTCACAAGAAAAGATCCCTTTTGAATAAGAAGAAATATGATAATCAACAGATACAGGAGTTTTTCTATAAATTCAGTACTTGTTTACTAATTTGTAACGATTTTTTGTTAGGTATTAATGTTAATAACATAACCCAAATAAATGCGAAAAAATCATAAGCTTTAGACAAATATACATGTAGGATAAAATTGAGAATGGAAATGGGGAATGTGTCAAAGAGACAACAACCCGACCATAGAACAGACAACAGCAGAAGGTCACCAACAGGTCTTCAATGCAGCGAGAAATTCCCGCACCCGGAGGCGTCCTTCAGCTGGCCCCTAAACAAATATATATACTAGTTCAGTGATAATGAACGCCATACTAAACTCCAAATTGTACACAAGAAACTAAAATTAAAAATAATACAAGACTAACAAAGGCTAGAGGCTCCTGACTTGGGACAGGCGCAAAAATGCGGCGGGGTTAAACATGTTTATGAGATCTCAACCCTCCCCCTATACCTCTAGCCAATGTAGAAAAGTAAACGCATAACAATACGCACATTAAAATTCAGTTCAAGAGAAGTCCGAGTCTGATGTCAGAAGATGTAACCAAAGAAAATAAACAAAATGACAATAATACATAAATAACAACAGACTACTAGCAGTTAACTGTCATGCCAGCTCCAGACTTCAATTAAACTGATTGAAAGATTATGTCTTCATCATATGAATATCAGGCACAATCCTTCCCGTTAGGGGTTTAGTATCATACCATCATAACATATATGAGAAGAACATAATCCGTGTCATGCCAACAACTGGTTTTTAAACAAATGTGTTTAGTGCCGATGCAAAGACCCTATAAGTGAATCAACATTAACGCCAAAATATGCAATCTTTAATGACCTGACAACAGTATCGTAACTATATCCCTTCTTAATAAGTCTATTTAAAGGTTTTGTTAGTTTCAGAGGTGAATACTGAAATTTTTGTGCTTTATAAAGAATATTTCCATAAAAAATTGGATGTGAAATACCTGAACGTATAAGAAGTCTGCATGTTGAGCTATATTTACGAATGATGTCCTTATACCGATGACAAAATTTAGTAAATGTTTTGACTAGCCTGTGATATCGAAAACCCTGGTGTAATAATCCCCCAGTAATACATAAATTTCTCTCGTTAAAATCTAAAACATTGTTACATACACGAGCGAATCGTACAAGTTGAGCGATATATATATATATAAACAAGTCTAAATTGAAAACAACGTTCAAACCTATGATTGCGTTGGATAAAAACCGCAATTTTTATACGTGTGCATGCAAAACAAATTTCTTGTTAGAGGGGTCTAAATAC